GTCCATCCTGTGATTTCTATCTTGTCCTTCTGTCCGCATGCATCTATCAATCTACGCTTCATTCTCATTCACAATCACATTCACCATCTTGTTGGAGTCTATTCCCAAATCATCCAAATCATACAATTGATTCTTCCCGCCATAGCTCTAATATTAATTCACAGCTTACCAAATACAGATTATCTATCGTGAGATATCATATAAACTTATCACATCATCAAATTACACCAGTCAACCGCGGCAAAATTCGAAATAATAATACTAAAAGCCAGCAGCATGGATTCGTGCCCCTTGGCGCGCATGCAAAAGTCACACCTTACCTGCAGGACTCCGTCTAATCACTCTCCAAACTGACCTCTCGCTGCAGTGCAGGTATCCATTCATATGTACTTGCGGGGACCTTGCCCTTTGCTCTCGTGTGAAACGCTCCCTCCCACGCCTACCAACCTCCTCCATCCAACATGCTCTCCTCGACTTCTCTTGCGAACGTGGGATTGTGGATTCGGATTCTTCATCTGATCAGTGATGATACACTAGCACTTCGATGGTTTACCACACTTACTTGAACTTTTACTTGGAAATCGTTTCAAAGTGCTCGTCATTTTGCATTGAGGTACGAAGGGTCTACAAGAAACGTGCGGGAAAAAGTATATCTTGCATCGCGCAAGGCAAGTCATGTCACACACAGTCATATTTTGTCATTTATGGAAACCTGGATCCGATCAGATAGATGGGCTCGTGATACCTTCACCTGGCAAAATCCCACCTTACCGTCAGGTTCATTGTGATCAAAGGGATGGGAACGCTCCTCTCACTGACGACATTTTCGTTTCCGTATACCAATGGCAGACCTAGTAATTAATCAAGGTATCAATCGAGTACCGGAGTAATACCTCAATCGGATGGGGAGAATGAACCAATGATAATCCTGTCATGTAAGTTGCAACTAGGATTTGACCGCTGGATTTCCATAAATTACCCCACATTCGACAAAAGGGTTTACCCCTCCTGAAAAGAGCGAAGGCTTTGCAGTACAGAAACGTTTCGGATTTCTACATCTTCCATTCAGAATGCCAAAGAACAATTGGATGAAAAGGAAGGAAGATGTGATACTCGAACGATGGCCTACCCTGCATTGACAAGCACACAGCTTTTGGATCTGTGTTCACTGTTCGCTTCCAGGAAGTTTAAGCATAGGCTAGGAGGATAGCCTGGATAGGGTGCGAAAAGCTATCTGTGCAACCTCTCCTACATACACGATGATATTACTTCATCTATTATCTTCTCACCGCTGGAAAAATCGGCATTGGGTGTTGACATAAGATTGATCAAACATCTTGGGCGTTTGTGCAGTGTGCTGGCTCACCTCTTGAGTGGCGATCAAGTGATGAAAATTTGATATATGGAAACCGAAGAAAAAAGAAGGAAGCTGAGTAAGTACGCTCTTACTGTACACCTTCTAAGATCATCTGACAGTTCATCATACTTCTTACTTGTGTTGTGTTTCTACCAACTGTGCCCAAACATCCACCGGTTCATCATCAGCATCGACATCTGACCCAAAATTATACATACCTACATACATGTCTACCTACATACATACCTACCTACATACATAATACAGAGTAGCTCCGGAGTACACCGCTGTCTACCCCTTCACATCCTTTCGCTTGACTGCCTCTGCGTTTTTAGGGGTTAGATCTCATCTCATACCCAACAACTCAAATTCACCGCCCTACGAATCCTGCAAACATAAGGCCAAAAATAGGTCAAATCACGATCGCATCTGAATCAAAATCCATCAAAATGCCTTTCAAAACGCAGTGAAAGGGTGTGCAATGCTCATTTGACAAACCGTGCAATGCCTTCTTCCAACAGCATTACAACATCTATGGCGATACGATCTTCATGTTCGTAATTTAATATCCCGTCATGATCCGTTTATGTCTCTCCAGTAGTCGGTAAATAAAATAGCTATGAAGAAACTGTTTCTTTCGAATAAATGAGGTTTCTGACTCTGGAGGGCTTGGTGAAACCAATTCAAGGGACAAATATCAAGATTGTATATGCCTTGGTGATTCAACGGTGGGCATTGGCAGTGCATTGGCATAAAAATCTTATGTCGTGCCACACCCGCTGCGCAGCTTGGCTTGTTTTGCTTATCTCGATAGGTGGTAGATTTTGAGGACAATCGTCGCACTTGAATCAATGATCCCGTCTATCACATTTCAGAGGGAGGTTTCGATTTCATCATCTTGACTCATTTTTTTTACTTGGTACCTACCGATTTCCAAACACCAGATTCTCGAGAATTTAATTTTTGGATGCGTATAAAAAGTAATACGGTAATGGGTGACATGTAATATGTAATACTCTGTATAAGTACTCAGTCTCAGTAACTACGAAACACATCCACAAAGATCTACACTTTCCATTTCCTCCTCCGGGGTGCTCCATCCGATCGGGTTATTAACGGGACCTTCCCCCATTTTATTTTTTTAATTAAAATTTGTGAGGATATATTTGATTTGATCTTTTGACATCTTTGATGGGGACACGGGTGTGGGTGTTGGTGTTGGTGTTCAAGGTTTGTGAGTGAGTGAGTGAGTGCGCTTTTGCATTTGTATTTGTATTGAGATTAGTGCCGATTATGAGGGATTAATTTTGTCCAGTGGATGTTTCAGGGATGGATGGTTGGATGGATGGGGTTTGCGCATGTGTACAATGTATAATGAATGTATACGATAGGTGATAAATGGATATTTGGCACGGGGAGCTGGAGAGAGGGCTGCATAGTACATACAGAGTAGATGGATAGGTGGTGAAGTGGCTTGAATTTGAATGGTTCCGTACTGTAGTTCCGCACTTGGGGGTGAAATGTTGGTGGCTTGTGGATGGATGGGGGTCGTGTTTGCAGATTTCGTTCCGTGCTTGCTTGTTGGATGGTGGTGGTGGTGGTGGACCCTACTTCCTGGGTTACTTGCTTGCTTCCTTGGGGCTTTGGGTAAGTACTTGGTTCGGGGGGGAAACTGGGAATGGATTGTCTACTTTGAGGGTAGAGCGAGAATGGATGGATGCTTTCGGGTTGTTGAGGAAGACCTCGGGTGGCCTGCGAGAGGATGGATAGATGCTTGGCTTGGCTGCTTGGTTAGTAAGCGGATGGGTGACAGTTTGCACGTAAGATGGATATGGGATGATGGATGATACATCTCGTGATCGTGAGCACACGTGAGTAAAGAGTAGAAGTTGCGAATAATTCTCCCTGAATCAATAGTCCAAACTTATCAATAATCCATAAAGAAATCCTTCTCATCACTCAACACATCCCCACCTCCAAATTTCGCACTTTGATAAAGTCCCAACACGTGACACCCAAATCCAAGCTAAAGAAAATAAGTTAGCGAAAGGCATCCCGACATCCACCAGCAAGCTCCCGCCGCATCTCAAACCCCCCCTCCCCTTCGTAGAAACCCTACGTTCACGTTTACGTCTTTCAATTGATTCACTTCGACCCAATCATGAACTCTATGCGTTTTGCTCGCGCCGCTCTGCGGGTTCGTCCTACGTCGGCGGCTTTGAAAACTCCTGTTTTGCGCAGAGGGTATGCTGAGGCTGTTGCGGAGAAGGTCGGGAATTCCTGTTTTTTGGTTTTGTTTTTCCTTAAGTGTTGGGGAAGGGAGGGAGCATGGAGATGGAGATTGAGGATGGGGTTTTGTGAAGTTTTTTGTGCTGACTCCGGGTGTGTGTACAGATTAAGTTGAGCTTGGCTTTGCCTCATCAGGTATGTGGATTTTTGTTTGTTTGTTTGTTTGTGGTTGGAGGTAGGGAGGGGGAGGGGGAGGGGGATGGTTGGGTGACGGGGTACTGGATGGGGTGATATGGGATGTGATGGGATGGGATGAGGGGAGATGTGGAGAGGAGGAGGAGGGATCTTTGCGGATAGATGGATTGGCAGATGGGCAGATACGAAGAGATTGGCTAACATGTAAATCTGCAGTCTGTTTACAGATCCCAAGATGTCGTCCAAGTCAACATCCCCGCCGAATCCGGTGAAATGGGTATCCTCGCCAACCACGTCCCATCGATCGAACAATTGAAGCCAGGTCTCGTCGAGGTTATTGAGGAGAGTGGTGGAAGCAAGCAATTCTTCCGTACGTCATACGATGATCATCCTGGAGATATTTACACAATGGGAGAGAAGGCGATAGGCTAATGGGGCATTGAAACAGTTTCCGGAGGATTCGCAGTCGTTCAACCAAACTCTTCATTAAGCATCAACGCAGTTGAGGGATTCCCATTGGAGGATTTCAGCGCAGATGCAGTTAGGTCACAAATTGCTGAGGCTCAGAAGATTGTTGGAGGAAGTGGAAGTGAGCAAGATATCGCTGAGGCTAAGATTGAGTTGGAGGTGAGTTTTGGATATTCAGATCTTGCATGTGGATATGAGATCAGGACTAATGAGATATATAGGTTTTGGAGACCTTGCAAGCACACCTTAAGTAGAGAAATTACTCTGCCTTGGTGATGGTTAGATGATAGAGACCTGCACAATGTACATCAGTGAACTATTTTTTATTGCGTTGTGTGAAAACGAATACCATAGCTTGTTCAATTGATAAGCCTGGTCAATTTTATACCCTCATCAACTAAGTTTTGAATTTTATTTTTGCTATATCTTGATGGGTTCAATGATTATGGGAAAATGGACATGTAAATTTTGGTGAATAGCCACAAACGCTGACACTGGCTAATGACGTTGAGTGTTCTTGCCTTTTCGCCGTTGTATTCCTCCCAAGGAGACTTACTGCTTTCAATTTAAGTACTCGATCTTTATCTCCATGTTCATTTGTACTTCCATCTTTATTTTCCTATTAGGGTTATCCTCTTTATTGCTTCACATCACTCATCAGGCGCATTGCCTGTATATTCATTCGTTACAATTATCTTTACAACCCAGCTTTAGTCCCGCGTTCAATGTATCCTATAAACCTTCACTTGCCATGACCTATCCCTGGCGACCCGCTGTCGCTCTCAACACACAAGCCGATTCTGTGGCTCCAAAATCATCCTTACCTAGTAGTGAGCGACCCTCTCGCTATCTTCCCATCACCGTCGGAACCGTTGCGTCACGAATCCTCTTACTCCAAAAGCTCGCGGGCAACGCCCCTAAAAATAAATCTCTCCCGAAATCTCCTCCTCGCTTCCCACAGATCCGAGCGACGGGGAAAAATAGAGAGAGGAGCACGTCACCTCCTCGATCGCGTTCCCCGCTAGGGATTCACCCCCGACGGGAACATTCGCGCTCGAGCTTTGGTCGCAGACCGACGAGCATCTTTGGGAATCCGGCGTCGAGAAATTCGCAGCCGAGTGTGCAGGTGCAGGCGGGCACGAGTCATTCGTTTTTGGGGTTGAGGGCGGCGGGGTTGGATCGTGAGGTGGGGTGTGCTAGAGAGGGGAGGGGGGATGGAATTGGGGATGGCGGATATTTGTTGAGGGGATTGAGGGGGTGGGAAAGGGAAGATGCGAGAGCTGGTGGATGGACTCGGATTGGTGATGCTTTGGAGATGGAGAGGAGGGGTTTGGAGCGGAGGAGTGCTACACGTGAAGTAGATTTGGATAGGGGCGTTCAGACTTTTGGGGGCAGTTATGGTTCCACACAAGTACCGTCTCCCGCTCAATTACCTTATGAAGAGAACCGGAAACTGAATTCTCGTCGTCAAAAGGAGAAGATGCGGCAAGATGAGATGTCTAATTCTGAAGTATCTATACGCACAACGTCTACGCTTCAGCGGCAGAGTGTTCGAGATTTGTTCGATACGCATGGTATTGAAAGACCACCTGGTCTCGCATCATCCGAAGTGGAGAGGGAAGAAACTGATAAACTTGAGAGACATCGCGTCTGTCATATTTGCATGTGGATTCATGAGAAGAAAGAGAATACCTGTTGGAAATGTGGTCATCGCTTATGCAAAGCTTGTGATAGACTTCTCACATTTTCAAATGGAGGCAAAGATGCAAGTTTCAATCACAATCGAGCAGTTCCTGTTGATCGGAAAGAAGTATCGAAACCAGTACATTATGTAACGACACCTCGTCCATCAAAAAGTCAAATTTCAAGACAATCGCTGTCGAGACCTCTGCCGATTTCAATAGAAATGAGAAAGAAGGAGGTTGATTCGGTGGAGCCTTTCCCGCCATTTTACCCCGAGAACGCTCTACCGCAAAGCTCGAAACCTGGGTCTGGATTAGAATCAACAAATTATGGACTATTACAATCGTGTCCTGGGATTTACAAATCCGAGAGCCCCCAAAGCCTTGCAACTAAATTTGAGGAAGCCTCTCAAGAAAGCTCCATGCTTCCTGCATCAAATTCTTCATGTCAGTATGTCACCAAAAAACATAGATCTGAGTCAGGATCTTTGGAAACGCACAATTGCAGATGTGAAAGCTGTCAAGAAGCTGATCATAGGGGGTTCACCCGTCGAAATTCTACTTCTCAATCACTTGCCCGAAGTGAGGATATTATAGCTATGGATGGTCGATATGCAGCTGATAGTATCAACGATGAGAACATCTATCGTTCTCATTCTTATCCTGACTCCTCTAGAACTTCGCAGCCCTCGATGAGATTGTATCGATTATGGAATGGATATATACATCGAGCAGTACAACTCAGCCATGAATCGAATCATGGAGACATCCCACGGACATCGATGCGGCCAGACCCGTTTTCGAATAATGCAATTCGTCGAACTACACAACCTACCCATAGAATAAAGCGTAGAAGCCACACGGGAAATACACAACGGTCGGAAAGCGCATGTCGTATGTTCAATGGATCGAGTTATCAACCAATACAACCTAGTTTTACCATGGATGATATAGAAAACTCGAAACTCCTAGATACTTATTATCCCTTCCTCAATGCTTCGAAACGAGGAAATCGATCGTCGAGATATGGATCGGAGTATGTAGAATGTCGCGGGTATCCGCGGACCGGTCATGGGCCCTGCGATCGCAGTCCAGTCAGTTCGGGGATCGTGGGCGATTGCCAACACTGTCTAGATGATTGTGAGTGTTCGGCGTGTCAGAGCACCGTGCATAGTGTTCGCTGTTGCACAAATGATATTCATAAACCCTTGATCCATCTTCATCGTAGTCCAACAAAGGTTTCCCTCCACGATGCGTTCCGTTCGCAGAATGCACAGCTAGGCTCCACGCAGCAAAGGAAACCGTATATACTGTCTCGCTCGCAAACGTATGATCGTGCCACGCTGCTGAAGTTTGATAGTGTCTCGGAATGGTTGGGGAGTCCGGATGAGCCTTCCCCTCCACGAAGATTCGACACCCCGACGCATACGCCGTCGGAGACTCTTCATCTTACGAAGCATAGTCCATCGATTTCTATTGAACAAGCTGGCGATTCGTTATCGAGGGCTCAAACCCTTTCATCTTGGCCGCTGTCATCCATCACCCCGAAAGATATTCCATTCCTGATGAAGGAATCTTTCAACAACGCTTCGGAAAATGCGGGCGCGAAAATCATCGGAGATCCAAATAGACCATCGTCGAGTGATGGCACGAAAGATCAATCCGTTGCACCCGCACGATCTAATACTCGTTTTCCTACGAACTCTTCTCCGGGGGATTTCTCGAAGAATTATCTGGATTGGAAAGAGAGGTTGACATCGCCGTTGCGGAAAGTCGCGAGACGTTCGAGGGATTGCGAGACTTCGGGTGTTTGTGGACAGGCGGATTGGACGGGTCGAAAAGGTGAGAGGGGGGAATCGATGGAGCGGAGGGTTAGGGGGGAGAGGTTGGAGCGGGAAGAGGAAGAGGTGGGGAATAGGGTTCAGAGGTGGGAGGATACGAGGTCGGAGAGTAGAAGGGGGGTGATGAGGAGGGTGAGGGATGGTGGTAGTGGTGTTGGTGGTAGTGCAGGGGCGAGTGAAATGGTAACACCGGTTAGTGCGGGGGGATATTTTGATGCGCAGATGAGGTGGTTGTCGAGTGGGAGTGAGCGGGGGAGGGGGAATGTTTTGAAGGGGGTTATGGGGTCCATTGTGGAGGAGGAGGGGGATGGGGATGCGGAAAGTGAAGATGGAGAGATGCATGATTGTATTTGGAAAAGAAGAGTTTTGGGGGTTGATAGGGTTGATAGGAGGAGTATAGATTGTGGATTGAGAAATAGAAATGTAGATGAAGCTTTGGGGGTAGAGGGAGGAGAGGGAGGAGAGGGAGGAGAGGGAATAGAGGGGGTAAAAGGGATGAGTGGAGTTAAGGGTGTTACGATTGTGGTTCATATGAAGAAGGGAGAGGATTTGGTTTTGAGGACGAATTGTCAGGGAGGGTTGAGTTGGGAGGGGTTGGAGGGGTTGGAGAGGTTGGTGAGGGGGGATGGTTGAGGGTTGAGAGTTGAGAGGGATAAAGGGGGAAAGGGAGGATAATAGTTTGCTTTAGGTCATGGGCTGGATATTGATGGGTTGGGTTGGGATGGGATTCAAGAAGAGAGTATGTTTTTTGTTAGAAAGTTTGTTGGATTGGAGTTGGGGTGTTGGGGAGGAAGGAAAGAGGGGAGGGGAGGGGGAAAGTGTGACTTTTAGGTTACTGGATGGATTACTGGATTACTTGCTTTGTTGTGTTACTGGACATGAATCAAGTTGGAAACTGGAAATTGGAAATTGAGAATAGACATTAGAAATGAAAAATCAAAAGGGACCTTTGTGTCTTGGGGGGTAAAAGTATTATTGATTTGGTGATTGGTGAATGCCACGAATTGGTGATTATTTCATTCTGAAGATATCTCATAGCGTGGTATACCTCGAACTTGTACAAGATTGAGGATAAAGACATCATGATGAAGTGCCTCAATAAAAATTCCTTATTGATTGATTATTGATGATTGATCATATGCTTCTGAACCATGGTTGTAAGACACGAAGCAGTGCAGCCTGCGATTTTTGGAGAGATTTCAGAGACCTGTATGTGTAGTTCCATTCACCCGAATATGCATATCTGGATTACCGTTTGTGGAATATCTACAAGAGCAATTGGCATTCCTCTCTACACTTGCTTCTCTACCATTTATATTGTTGTGTGAGGCGGAATTTGATAGCAACAAATAGATTAAACAACAACTGTATTGTGGTAGCGGTTCAAGCTGGGCTCCACTTGGATAGCTTGAGTTTCTTATTGGTTGGCATCTGAGATTTTCTGAAATTGAGGAGATTTGTAGAAGATGTTACAGAAAATGAAAGAACAGCTATGAAGAAAACTTTGAAGAAAAAGTCGTTATATCAGGCCTTCACGAGCAGGCACGGGATGATACTTCATGACCCATAAAGTCCGCTGAATCGTAGCTCATTGAATTTCTTGAAGCTGTACAATTTGTTCTGGGGCCATCGTGGCTTTCTTCCCGAGCAAAATAGAAGAATTGACTTCTTGCTTTATGTACTTGTGAAAGTACGAAGCGTGAGTATTGGTGTTTGAACAGTTCTTGGAATTTACGAAATCAATGATTATGGATCGATACGCCGTGCGGACACATCTTCCAATTCTTCTTGAGAACCGAAGGGTATTCATACAATTAATTAAAAAAAGAGAGAAATTTAGAGACGAAAGTGAGAGAAGTAATGGTGCTCATAGATCCCTCTTTGAAGAGATTCATTGGGCGATCATAATAATTCCAACAATAGAAATACATGACTTGTCTCGTTGTCTAGTACGGGATCTATATCATCAGCGATCCTGTCAGGAAAGGAAGATAATGTATTACACATCAAGAGTTCGTTCGAATGAGTCTGTATCAGCATATCGGACTGTTCGTCAAAAGAGCTATCATGTTCAAGACCAAATTCGCGGTTGAACGCGTGTTGTCGTCGCCAAGATCCAAAAGCTTTCCTATACTAACACTCGCTAACTAATCACACACCTAGGGCACTACTTAGTAAGAAAACGAGCCGCATTTGAAAGCTAATCTCACACCCCCCAAAAATATAATCCACTGCCTACAAAAAGTTTCCGCGAAAGATATATTGACGTCAAAGCTATTGATCGGTAGCTTGAGGGTAGGTAATGTTTCACATGTTGGCAAAGTATATTGTAGGAAATCTGTACTAAAGTGAAGATCCGATCTATCACTTGAATAAGACATACAGCGACGACTTTGAAAGTTTGACATGGAATGATGTTAGAGCGAAGCTTTCATCAGACAACCACCTCGATCAATTATTTCTATACCGTATTCAACAACTTTTATCCAAGCTCAAACCTTCTTAAGCTCCATCCAAACTATAAATGCGGTTGAATGCTGTTTTATGCGAGAGGGGCGACAGTTCAGATTCGAACGTCCGGTGAAACAGCAGCCGCATCTCCCGCTGATATGCTCTGGTCCTTTCTGTTCCAAGAATCACCTAATCTTTGATCACCGTCTCATTTCTATAATGGGTGATGATATTATTTACACAATCGCTCATTTTTGAATAGAAACATATCTTTCGATAAGTTTCAGTGACGGTGAGATTATGACATGCAGATATATAGGGAGATTCCTTCCAGTGAAGGTATGCTATTGAAAGAAGTTAATGCTTTTGGCTATACTCAAAACGGGATCGCGAACTATACTTGGGATGCAGAAATCTTGATTATCTCATAAAAATCTCTGCTTTCAATTTTTCAATTCAGACAAAGCTCTTGTGTGAAATTTTGACAGCTTCAAGTAGAGGTTAAAATGATTTGAATTTTTGACTTATCCGCTACCTTGATCTCAATAAACCCTTTTATCTACGCAAAATATTTGTTAGCAAGCACGTTGCAGCTTGTTTTATTGAGGATTGACAAGGTTTCTCCGTTCGGGTACCTAATTATTGCTATAGCTTACGGTTTTCAGTCAATGGCATTTATCCTGTCAAATCCACTTGGAACTTGCTCTATCTTTTCTGTTTTACGTCCTTCGTTTCGATATTGGTTCTTAACAGACACCCGCCATCTTTCACGGAATACCAAAAACATATAGCAATGGAAAAAGAATCGGAACTTATTAATGGGGATAATGTGAATCAAGGAATTTCTGAAATATCCTCTGCGACGCCACCTACGCCCATATCGCTTTCTCCGCAAGAATATCGAAAATTGATCTGGAAAATTGATCGTCATGTTTTGCCAGCTTTGTTTACTCTTTGGATAGTCGCCGTCGTTGATCGAGGCAACATCGGGAGCGCAAATATCTTCGGCATTCAGGAGGATCTTCATATGCAAGGAAACGATTCAACATGGCTCTCCTTATCGTCGTTATTTGTTTTATTGTCTTCGACATTCCTTGCAATGCATTACTGAAAGCTAGCACACCACGAGACGTTATTACTGGCGAAACCTTCCTTCTAGGTTGCAGTCTCTTGCTAATCATTCCTCAACATAACTAACATTATATAGGAATCGTAGCTATTGGAGAGGGACTTGTCACAAATCTTGCGGGGTTCTATGCCATGCGTTTTTTTGTGGGGTTATTCGAAACGGGACTCATCCCAGGTATTTTCGACAGCCATCAGCCTAGAGACAACACTAATAGAATTATAGGAAGTGTCTTTATTCTGAGTCAATATTATCCTCGGTATGAAATGCAATGGAGATTAAGTATGTTGATGGTTGGCAATGCCCTTGGAACCGCATTTGCTGGACTTCTTGCATTTGCTATTGCTGGTACCAATACTTCCAATGGGTATAATGGTTGGAGATGGATCTTCATCATCGAAGGGTGCATTACTGTTGCAGTGGCGGTTGTTGCCTACCCATTCATGCCAAAGTGGCCGCATCAGGCAAAATGGATGTCCGACGATGAAAAGACTTTTCTCGCTGATGCAATCAAGCAAGGAGGGGTTATTGAACCGAAGGGTGAGAAGTTAGACATACACAGATTCGTTGGCGTTTTGAAGGACTGGAAGATATATGTAGCGTAAACGATCCACCCAACTTCTCCTTTGGCTCTAAACTAATCAATCTTAGTGGTATTCTTCTAGCGTTTACAATTATGACGTCAGCTAGCGTCGGGATATTTACACCAACTATTGTTTCTGGCATCTCTGCTCATCAGGATCCTCGCCACGTACAGGTTCTCTGTATTCCAGTCTTTGTTGCAGCGGCAGTATCTTCATTGGTAGCTTCATTTTTATCAGATTATTACAAACATCGTACAGCATTCGCTCTTTTTGGATACATTATGATCGTAGCTGGTGCGATAATCTTACTTAACCAAGATCATGTCAACGCGCATACCAGATATGGAGCGGTCTATCTCCTGGCTTGTGGAATCTACATTGCTGTACCAATAATCTGGACAATTCTACCAAATAACGTTGCTGGAACGTACAAGACGGGAATTGCAATAGCAATTCAGGTCAGCATTGGGAATTTGGGGGGTGTAGCTTCAACTCTTTGCTTTGCAAGTACCAAGGCACCATCTTTTGTCTTGGGATATACAACCATTGTGTGGATGACTTGTTGTGCTGCGGTTCTCTTAATTATCTATGCATTGTTTTTGTGGATGGAGAATAGGGCTAGAGCAGCTGGTAAAAGGGATTATTTGTTAGAGAGAGAGGATGTCGACACGCTCGGGGATATGCACCCTTCTTTCAGATATACTTATTAATTGCTTGATTTGGTAAGATAATCGGCGGTACTGAAGTAGCAGGTGACGTTAAAAAAGTTATATGGCGGAAGGATTTCGCAGAGTCGAAGTCTTTGAGAAGGTTCACGACTCGCAAACATTCATGGAAGGAATTGTTCGCTTAGTAGTGGGAGCACCTCAAAGTATCATTTTTCCACTTTCAGGTACCTAGGTAGTACAACGCGTTATTGAAGGACAATCTATCAGTCATATACTTTACTTTGAGCTCGATCTATGGAGTTTTCTGCGTTCCACATAGGTTTCACTGTACTTCGGAAGTTGCTAGACCCTTGAGATTCACGGTTTCGTATTTACTTCCGAGGTTACTCGACATACTCAGTGTAATGTAACAATCGGAATTGTCTCTAAAGCTTATTCGCTCTTCCTTGGTTACCACGACGAAGATTTGAAAAATTAATTTTTGCATTATTTCTATACGGCCAAGTGTTGCAGTGGGGTTTCTAGTGTATCTTTGTGTCTAATGCTATATAATATCACTCAGCTACGATGTTTTTTGAATACAATGAAATCACCTTCAATCGTTGTCTGAAGTAGCAAATCTGCGGAGTGTGTACTAGAAAGTGATTATTATTCATATTCAATAGTCCGTGTCTAGTTTAACTACCTCTTTATAGCACGTCATCATATTAATTCACCTACTTACCAGCGTTCCAGCCCCGGATACTTAATATTATAACGTCACCACCTCACTTGGTCTTCCTTTTTACTTTCATTGATTGCATCTGAAATCAAAGTCTCACCCCCAGCGGCGATATCTATTCCAAGGATCATGGCGAGCTCTACCACGGCTCCGCCGGCCTACGAACCAAGCGAGCCCCTTCAAATCGCTATAATCGGAGCCGGCCTTACAGGCCTCACCCTCGCACTTTCTATCTCCGCTCTCCCACTGCATCAGCGTTCACACCTCCACTACATCATCTACGAATCCCACCAGCACTATTCCGAGATCGGCGCCGGGATTGGATTTGGCGCTAGCGGTCACCGAATCATGAAACTCCTCCATCCCAAATTCTGGGAAAATTACAGAGCAATTGCAAACTGGGGCGAAGATGACGTATGGTGGGATTTTGTAGTCGGTGACAAAGTCAGAAATTCCCAAGGATTAGCTGATGAGAAATGGGAAGGAAAACGAATCGCACAGGTACGGATGAAAGAGGGGAGAGAGGGTCAAAGTACCGCGCATCGAAGATCTTTGATGGATATTCTGATCAAACTTCTTCCTTATTCGTGCGATGTGAGGTTTGGGAAACGTTTGACAGGGATTTCATCTTCCAATTCTGATTCAAATCATCCGAATTCTAAAGTAACACTTCAATTTCAAGACGGTACAACCTCAACCGCCGACCTAGTAATTGGTGCTGATGGCGTCAAATCTCTCTGTCGGGATATAGTACTCACGCCGACTTCCAACGCCGAAGCGCTCAAAGCGCGGTTTACAGGGAAAATAGCATATAGAGGATTGATACCGATGGAAGAGGCGAGAGCGAGGATAGGAGAGAAAGCGGATCAAAGGATATTTTATTTGGGACATGGCGGACATGTGGTTTCGTTTCCGGTGGAGGGAGGGAAGAGTATGAATATTGTTGCGTTTGCGAATCGGGAGGAGGGGGTTTGGGAGGGGGGATGGGTGAGGGAGAATGTGGGAGAGGAGCTGGAGAGAGATTATTTGGATGGGCGGTGGGGGGATAATGTGGAGGGGATTATGAGGGTAAGTGAATGGTGGTTGGATCTTTTATTTGCTTATTTAAGATGCCTTTTTTTCTGTTGATCTTCCTTGCGATGTTCATTTTGTGGATTTCACCCAAAGCCGTTGTAATTTTCGGCTACATTCGATTCGTCAAACTACCTCGACTCCTTTATGTATCTCTTGATGAGAATGTCTTCTCCACCTCTACCTCATCTCATAAATTTCAAATCTGATATTCACTCCTATCTCATCGAATCTCATTTTCCCAGTTTTGTTTGCCCTTTTAATCTCAATTCTATTTTCTAATAAAAGACCTACTAACTCTCCAATCACAGCTCATCAAATCTCCCTCCTACTGGGCAATATTCTACCATCCCCCCGCTCCGACCTTTCACCATCGCAGTCTACCCATCCTTCTCATCGGCGATGCTGCTCATACCACTGCTCCCCATTTCGGACAGGGCGCTGGCCTTGGTAGTAAGTTTCCTTTTTTCCCCTCCCAGCTGTTCATCGTCTACACCCTCCAGAATAGTCTGTCCTCCATATTCAATCCCTCCAAAAACACTTCATTATCCTTCCTACCCCACACAAAACATACTAATCCCCACCCGCTCCCAGTTGAAGACGTATACATCCTCACAAAACTTCTCTCGCACCTGCCCAGCACTTCTCACTCTTCTTCACCCAGCTCAAATCTCCGCGCCCTCTTCACCGCATACACACAAATCCGACAACCACGCGCGACAACCACGGTATCTTCTGCTAACTATTATGGTCGCATGCTTGATATGGAAGATCCTATTATATCTGATAATCTTTCGCTTATAGCAGAGAATGTAAGGGGAATAGCGGAGACGATTTGGGGATATGATGAGATTGGGGAGGGAGAAAGAGCGGTAGCGATTATGAGGGGAATTTTGGCGGATGGTAAGATTGAGGATAAGATAATAGGGAGAGATATTGAGGTAATGCGATAGCTTGAAGAAGAGAGGTTGGAGTTTGTTGCTGAATCATCTGATTACCTATGAAATGTATAGAAAAGAGTAATCAGACATATATTGGAAGATTATGAATAGAATCAACCCGAGTTGAATTCACTTGCACTTGATGGGGACTGTTTTCGACTACTAATAAGCTTAGACATTCAAAATTGCTAACTAGTAGGTATTTTGACAATTTTGGCAAAGAAATCGAGATGAGAGGTTTTGGAATGAAGAAAGTAAAAGAGAAGAAAACTTTCATAAAAGTCATTTCTGCATTCGTTTGACGAGTTCAGATCATAAAAATAGAAATAGTCAAAGCAGAAAACAAGAAGATAGGAGATAAGAACTTGATAACTTCAATTCAGATGAATGTGATCGGCTTCCTTCGCCACTGGTGAATTCCTCCATTCGGCCCCTGAGTACGAGCCCATTGGTTGCCTCCTTACAACTTTGCCAATTATTTCTCAACTATCGACGACCCTCGCTTATTTGTTGCTCCTCGTTAAATATTAAGAAGGAGGAAGTAGAGTGGTCATCGTATTCTTAGGCGTCACAGTAGTGACTGCATACTTGCCAGTAATGCCTTCCCATTTGCCTTTGACGTAAAATTCATACTGTGATGCTGTGGTAAGATTATCAAGATAGTTTACGAGGTAGCTGCTGCGCTCCATAGCCAGTTTCCACTGTTGATCATATAGATTAGTAAAAAGATGACAAAGGGCATGAAATCACGTACCTCCCAAGGATCCGCGTTAGCCAGTGCATCGTCACGAATCTCATCGGTTCTTCTGAACTCAAAGGTGCTTTGGTGATCGGAACAATCTTCAATATCGAACCATTAGTACTCGCTACAACGAGTGTGTTTTCGAATCACAATTTTCCTGTTTTGGGAAGTGCGAAGATAAAAATGGATATTGGGTGTTGGATTAGAAGGAATGTAACGAAAAAGCTTCTGATACTCACAGACAGTGTAGGCAATAGTATTTCCCGTATTTCGTATACGGGTTAGTTTAGTAGTGCGTATCGAATTTTTTCGAAATACATACATATATGGTGCAGAATTCAACACCATTAAAAGTATTCAATATCATTTAGTTATTCAACACTATTAGCAATATACTGAAATACTGGAATCCAATATAATATCTTCATTCCTATCCAAATTAGACAATGAAATCCCTTGTTTCTAATCTAATGTATATAGGAATGGAATTTTATTGCCTAATTTGAATAGAAATGAAGATATTATATTGGATTCCAGTATTTCAATATATTACTAGTATTATTGAATAACTAAATACATATAAGAGTGATATAACCTCCTTTCTATATACTAGCTGCAATATCAATATGCTAATACGCGCCACAGTTTCACTGTAGTATACTATTGCCTACACTGCTCACAGACTCTGTCTGATTGTTTGAAGGCAGGCTTCCGAGCAGCCGTGTTAGGATCTGAAGCGTAGCTTCCCCCACCACCTTGATAGTAGATGAGAGTTAGTATATGCAATCGAAGTGGCATATAAGCAAAAGTGACTCACCCCATATCGTATACCCGTTTTGGAATCTCAATCTCGGGACAACCTTAACTTTGGCTGTGTATGGTAAAGAAGTTTTTTGAACAAAAACCTTCTGATTGACACAGTTTACACAATTAGCAGAGAGTGTAAGCTGTGCAGAGGTCGTGGAGGTGTAAGTGGTGGATTCTGAACGAGATTTCATCGAGGAAAAGTTTCCATTGAATGTTGCCTTCAAGTTTGCTTGCCAGCTGTCATTGACTCCCAATTTGTAGCCGACTGATTTACAATGTTAGCAACTAATCACCATGAAGTTGAAGGTGCTGTCGTTTTTCCAATCGCAATGCTCCGACCAATCCAGCTATGACAATTCTGAGCGTGAAATACGAATCACTTCTCAACACTAGGAAGTCCGTATCTGTTGCGAAATTTGCATTAGCTTCACTTGAAGCAGCGTACTACTAAAGGAGGAATCTCTTTGAAACTATATTACATATCCAAGGTGCACGAGTGGAATCTTTTCAAAGACGGAGACTTAACATACCTTCAACTCCAGCGTTTACGCCCCAACTTTGACTATCTGTGATAGTACTTGTCACGGCGCTACTTGCGCCGACTGTGACAGTAATTCTAGGAGATATCAGCTTTGTATTCTTTTCCACAGCTTCTGGGTAAGACTTACGGAGTGTTTTGAGCTGGATATTCGGTCGTGTCAAGCTATGGCATCTCAGTAAGCAGGTATCCAAAATGGTAAGGCAGAGATTCTCTTGTACTTTCAGTGGTTTGAGATCAGTGATAATTGGTTTACACCATATGATATCCGAGACCTGAGACATCAGTCGACATCTAGCTACGTATTCAACACAGTGGGCGCTTCACTTACCTCAACAACCCAATCGAAAAATTCGATGTTCGTGCTATTATTTACCTTGACTATATTCAGTAAAGCTTTTCTAGCTTGGAAAGCAATACTTACATCATAATAACCATTTCTAGGAGTATTGTTTAAGCGAAAGATTCGAGAGTTTTGCTGGTTTGGTTTGGTGGGGTCTGTTACAGACATGCCCATGTCTTGAGGTTTTACGTCACTTAAAGTCCAAGCCCCAATATACGACATGCCTAACTCTGAAGCAAGCCCACTGCAATTGATTTTGATATTGTCGACGACCTAAGGGAATATGGTAAGCATTTTTCTGAAACGTGATCAGGTTGGTAAAGGCAAAAAATCTAGAAAGTTCAATACATGTTCTTGAATGGCTTTTATGGCAGCCAGATTCCCATCCAGGCCATCCACTTTATACGAATTGTTACGCTGTACTACCTCAACGAGAGCAGGATATGTTCTTGTCTTCCATTCGTTCCATTTCTGATGCAAAATTAGCTTCCCATGTTTTCGCAAATAATTAATGTGAGTGTAATACCGCGAGAGCTAACTCCTCTTCACCCTTCTTCTTACTCATGAACAACATCAATTGCGTTGTAATCTTGGTGTCCAAAGCCGATGTGCTAATAAAATTATTTGCTAGAGTCTGGCATAGTTAGTTTTTTGGAGTAGATGATTTGATCCCAGTCAACTCACTTGATCAGTGATAGGTATAATTATCTCGCTAAGAAGTGCCTGATTGTACACAGACACGACTTCATCATACTTGTCAACTTTGGCTTTTCTATCGAGCTCAAGTCCGATATCAAGTTGCGATTGGTAAGTCTGTATTTTTGTGCTTGAAATTGCCCCATTTGGCAAGGCATGGAGATTACCTTTAGCCAAGGTAAATTTGTTTTTCGCAATTGTCACGGCCGCATTAGATAACAATATCTGTTGAATTTAATTACTCAAGCGTCGATAAATATCCGAGAGTTGAACATACAATTTGGACTCTAGTGGTGGTTGGTAGATCCAAGTTAAGATCAATAAGATCTAATTGATCTCGACAAGATTGAATAATAAGAGGCACTTGACCTGCAAGCTCGGCGGTAATATAAGCCTTGTAGGTATCACATGCTATAAATCGAGACTTAGCACATCTTGAAAGGGGTCCTCGCAGGTTAAACTCGCGTACCTGTGTTGTATGTGTTGACAAAATTCGACTTTTTCTCGGATACAAACACATCGAAATGCATCCCAAATTTGGAGGCCAATGCTGTGGAGACCTTGTTTTCTGTGCAAAATAGAATTAATGCATCCTGGAAACCATGATTTAGTATGTGGAAGTAAGAACCAGAGAGCTATGTACCTACTTTGATCAGGGTATGATTAGTTATTGTTTCAAATGGTTCAGGTTCATATACAGTCACCGTGCACTTCTATTAGCCGAAACTCCACAAAACGCGTTTTTTTACGCATTACATTCCCACAATCACATTTTATTATTTTAATTATACTTTTAATTCATAATATATAATATATTGGAGATACACAAAATGATTCTTATAAATGTTTTATTTTATATATATATAATAAAATAGTTAATAAGATAGAGGAAGATCTTAGTTTTTATTGAATTGTAAAAAGCCTTAAACTCTCTTATGGAATTATATGATATATCCTTTTATAAGATTTAATATATAATAATAATATATATTTATTATATATTAATTAATTTAAATTATATATTAAATAAGATAAACAAATATTATTATAATATATATAATTATTTTCGAAAATTATATATAAATAGATTATTCAAAAGGTTGAATTTAATTATAATGTTAAAACTATTAAGAGGATTTTGATTAAATATAATATAATTAATTAAAGGTATAAGAAGAAATCAGAACTTATATTAATATATATTACTAAATAGTTTAAATAATATCTAACTTATAGGAGATTAATAATTAAAAAATGAGATTTAGTTATATTATTAAATAAATATTTTATAAAATAAAAAAAATAAAAAAGATTAGAATAATACTTCTATATTAATTTTTAAAAATGGAATTCAGAAATAATTGAAATATATGGTATAAATAAGAATATAAAGATTATATATTAAAAAAGCTTTTGGGATATTAAAAAAAGTAATCTATATATAATAAATAAGGATTTTGAGAATATGAAATATAAGTATAATATTAAATCTTATCTTAAGGTTTTTGAAATTGAAATAGATTTTATTTTCGAAAAGCTTAATTTAGAATATAAATTTATATAGAATAATATTTTTATTTATTATATTTATAAGATATAAGATTGATTTCAAAAAAAGAAGATTCTTTTATTAAAGAATTAATTTTCTTATTCCCTTAATTTTAATTCTATAAAGTATATACAATAAGTTTTAAAAATAAGAATATATAAAATATTTTCTAATATTATTATTAATAAAAGCAAATCAGAATATGTTTATTAAAGATTAGAAAATTGTTTACAAACAACTTGGGATATATTAAATAAAGAATTATTTAATAATTTGAAAGTTAGTATATCTTTTAAAATTAAGATTTGTATTATAACAAATGACTAGTATATTAAATATTAATAGATTAAAAGTCAATAATAGAATAATTTTTATATATATTAATAATATAAGAATACATTATTTATTTATTCAAATTTGATAATTTTATAATTCTTGATTGATTTAATATTTAATATTGAAAAAGGGTGGTGTAATATGTAACACCATAAAATAAGTGGGGGGGGTGGATATAAGTGGCCTAGTACTGTAGTGGCATGATAGAACTCTGGAGCTTCATGACAAATGTTTGCTTAAGACTGTCGAATATGACATTGAGGCTGGCCTTGATCTCTGCTTCGTTACTCAACCATATTGCCTTTTGAGCAGCCATGGTATTGTCTGCTGCAGTTGTAAAAAGATCTTTCTTGTCTTGTTTGTCAGACCATAGGTATTCGTTATCCAGTTTTTGACGGAAATCTGATTTTGCCGTGTCGCAACCAGAGGAAGCACTAGTGTTGTACTGGTTGTCGTTACCAACTTGCGTGTTCCTCCCAAGTGTGACCAAAGTCTCTGTCAAAGTCTTTATGCTAGCCTGAGATAAATCAGTAGCCCAAACACCCCAGGAACTAGCCGCCTTGGATTGTATTCCAGACTTGTGTAGATCAAGAGCTGATTGAATTGTTGCTTCGTATTTATCGGGCAATGCCTGAGGATCATACATGTCTCCTTTGGTTTTAAAGGTGCTTGAAAGGGTGTTAAACATAGTGAAAGCATTGTTAATGTCTGTCCGTGACTGTAGAATACTACCTGTTGAAAAGATCTTCGATAACTCATCTCCGATTGAGCCAACTAGATTGGTCAAGGTAGTGGACATCAAGGTTTTGATCCTGTTAAGGTTTGTCGCAATGAGATCGGCTTTGACGGCAGCAGTGGAGTTCGATGCAGTATTTTGTGCAGCCCGAACAACATCCACTGGCATATACGAGATGGCACTAGCAAGCTGGCTAAGAAGTAGGTTCACACTGCCATCGAATTTAATGGAAAGTAATTGAGTTGACAAATTAGGATCCCTAAGTATGGTGTCGGAGACAACGCTCAACGAATTTGCGAAATCAATTCGTACTTTATTCAAAGCATTGTTCTGAGACTGCTCAAACTTAATCAAATCTGCTTTGAGTGGAGAGAGTCACCTGCTTGGGCGCCTGATCGGAAACTTTTAGAAGCCAATGCCATGGGAAGAACGGAAACAAGATATATATGATCCACTATATCGACCATTGGTTTACATTGTCGAAGCTCTCCAGGGGCTTGAAGGTTGGTCCAACTCGAGAATTCCTGACAGGATTGCCATGCTTGGAAATTTGTGCACAAATGGAACACGATTGAATACCGAAACCATACAAAACGTCGAAGGTTTGGGTTCTCCATGAGCACAAATGTTTTTGCGCTCGCTCTTCTTAATGGAGATCTCACTTTGCTGTCGGCTCTGCACGGCACACAACCAGGAAGAAATTGCGAGGGTCTCCAATGCTTCCCTCTGTCCAAGTCGATCAGGAATTGTTCTCTGGATTCACAAGATCCCAGCGATCGTATCTCCTACCAACTCGACACACATGTTCTCTCAGAGAAGGGTCTCGGAACAGAAGGCAATTTTTGGGAGATGACGGAAAAGATTGACCTTTGGAGCTCGGTCGATGCCCTCGAGTTTTTAGAAAGTCAATGGAATAGGATGATGTCAATGTGTCTCCGGGCAGAAACTTCCAATGGCAATATGGACGCGACGCTACGCGAAGACATTGACGAACTGGCGATCTGGGCGGCGTGGTCAGTGATTCGATGCCTGCATGCTAATACCAAGTACCCCCAACTTGCCATGGTAATTTACAATTGATTGAAGTGCTTTGCCATGATTAACCTGGGTCAAAAGTTACTGTTGTTGGCGAAACCGAGACAAGTGGCTTTGACGAGACACTTTCCTCGGAACAGTTCCAGGCTAAGGGAAGCGGTATTGAATGCTTATGTATCTCAGACCGATTATGCAAGTACGGCTTCATTTTCGCTGGCCGCCTTGAGGATTCGGATACTGATGAACCTTTGACCGCTGTCTTTGACTGCGATAACACCGGTTACATATTCACACCACGAAGTACCTCATTGACCGAGCCGGTCAAATTAGGACAAGAACCTGTATCTTTCATTGTAGTGAAGCAAGAAAGCCTTGCGCAGCAACATGTTCTATGTTGTGAAAGGCTCGTACGAGGAATTTGGGGAGATACGACATCCAGCAAACCGTGCTGCTTAGCATGGAATATCTAATCAAACTCCACTCAAGTGCTTCCCGGTACAGATATGCAGACAGCATCAGAACATGATCGGACTATAGGGAAATTATTGGAGCTTCAAATTACCGACAACAACGAATTTCAGCTTGATCTTCCAACGCTCGATAAAGCTCCTCTGAAGCTCCCACTTAAGTCCGACATACCAAAATACCGCTATGAGTTTACCACTTATTGTAGTGCCTATGATTGTTCGCTAGTGAACACTAATTACAGAGCTTGACAGGCTTGCAATATGATAATCTGCAATATCTGTCATCTCAAAAACCTAGGATGTGCAAGAGCACACGTGCCTCGCCACATGATTGTTTTCGAGAGGCAGCAATTTCCAGTCGAAGGTTCTCTACATCTATGCATTATGCTGGGGAATTTGCCAGCTCTCAAGCGACTGCTCCAACTCGGATATATGAAGTATGCAGGTAAGGACAAAGGATTACTGGTCATCGCAACTAGACCCGAGAACGCACCATACCTCGACAGCGTAGGCAATAGTATTTCCGGTATCTCGTATACGGGTTAATTTAGTGGTGCATATCGATTTTTTTCGAAATGCATACGTACGTGATATGGAATTCAATACCATTGAAGATATTAAATATCATTTAGTTATTCAATACTACTAGCAATATACTGAAATACTTGAATTCATCATGAAATATTCATTACTATCCATATTAGACTATGAAATATTCATCCCTTAGTTCAAGTTATATAAAATATCTATTCTGTAGTCTAATATGGACAGGAATGAATGTTTTATAATGAATTCCAGTATTTTCAGTATATTGCTAGTATTCTTTAGGTATATAGATATGTATGAGAGTGGTATAATCCCCTTTCCAAACGTACTAGCTGCTATATTAATATACCAATACGCGTCACAGTTTCACTGTAGTATACTATTGCCTACACTGTACCTCGACGCCCTGTTCGATGCAGTAATAGTCCACATTGTGGATGATATAGGCAAGACTGCGTCGCGACAGGTCAAATTTGAGATGTTTTTGAAAACAACTGTCATCATCAGCTACCAAGTTTCGTGTTTTTCTGGCCTCGCTATAACAAGATCACGATAACATATTATTTCGAGGAGCGGCGAGCGAGACAGTATAAAATTGCATTATAAAACTAAAAGTTCCCTTCCACTCATAGGTTCAAATTTCGCAGAATGGACCAAGATGCCCCTTCGAGGTATCTGCTGCGATCTCTTCGTAGAGTACTCTTCTCCAAGCTGTCCTGCACGACCCTGACATTGGCGCAGCATTGTCTCGATGCTGCCCAGTAAATCGTCCGATAGGCTCCGTGAAGCCCAGTGGCAGCGCAGGCTACATACAAGATCTCCATGATGAAGGAGCTGGACTTCAAATTGAAGCCAGCGCCGATGCCCGTGATCAATACGCTACAGAACGATTTAGCAAAGGCGATCTCATACACTTGTGGAAAGTCTTGAACTTACCTCAAGAGAAACCCAATATCACCTCGGGAGGCATTGCTGCGTGCTTTGGAAGTGGTGCGTTCGAGGGCATCTCTTAACATAGCAAGCTCAGATTGCAAGAGATCTGAAGTTGCATTGTGCTCGGCTCTTTGTCGACGCAAGCTCTCACTGTTTGCAGGAGTATCTGTGTAATGTGTCAGTATCATAACTCTGTCATGTGTACCAGAATTCATCAATCGTCAATTACCTAAACCTGTTTCTTGTTTGTACGCAGTTGCTTCATCATCCTTTAAATGAGACCTTCTGTAAACACTTGTTATTAGTGCTTGTCAAGAATGAAGACGAGTTCATCATACTCGCGAACTTGATGATATCTTCCCAGGTGGTATAAAGCCAGGCGTCGTCGTGGCTCACAGTCTTCATCTGGCTCCCCGTTGTCAAATGGTGATGTCGATTCGGACCCTCGAGGGAATTGTCTCTCGGTGGGAGGATTCGAGCGCGACAGGCTACCGCCAACATTGTTTGATCCGTACGACATTTATGGTTGTTGTGTTGATCCCTCGAGAATGAATAAAGAAGGTAAGAGAAGTTGTATGGGGGAAAGATTGAAAGGAAAGATTGAAGGGAAAGATAATCATTTGGAGTGATATATCCGTGACTGGGCTGAAAAACTGGGGGCTGAAGCTCGTTTGCGTCCGTGCACATGCCGTCCGGGATTTGAGGGACAACTTAAGCGAGCGTGCATAAATTGCGAGCCGCGAATACTATTTCTGGACTGAAAGTTCCTCTTCCTTTGAACCTGAATTGCGAGTGAATAGTAAATAATGAGGCTAGGTTTGGCTAGAGAGGAGTCACCTTGAGCTATTGATACAATGGCTGGAGATTTGACCAAAATTGTGTTATTGATTGGTTGATATGCTGTGGTTTCACGCAGGCTGCTGGGAGATATGTAGCACACAGCGATGTAATGTGTCTTACGAATGGCCTGTCTCAATTCCAGACGAGTTAGAATACGGATTCATGTCTGTACTTTCAAGTGAACTGCGAACGCCTTCTGGCCAAATGCGATGCTCACTTCGCTGGGAGCTGCGAATTGCGATTCTCTATGAGGCTGTGTGTACTTGAGGTCGAGTGGATAAGTCTCAAATTAGTCATATCTCATGAGTGCATATAAAGAAGTCTGTCTCTGGCTTCTCAATTGACTCTTTATACTAGTTCAAACAGTCATTCATCATCTTCACAATTCGGAACATTTTACTACAATTTTCTCCTATCCAATCAGTACAATATGCCAGTCACTAACGAGCTCAAAGTCAAGCTTACTTTCTTCCATCGCGAAAGCCATGTTTCACCTGATGCAATTCCAAGTCCTAATTTCGTTGGTAATGCAGTGAATGATCTTTGGGACATGGAAGCTTGCGCTTGGTCGTTGAAAAGATCTGATGACATTCAGGATCCTATCAGTGGAGGAAGACAAGTTTGTGTATGTTCTACTTCAAACAACCTTCCATTCTTTCCCTCGCTAATATTGTTCTTCATTACAGCTGACACTGCGACACAATAACATCAGAGCCAACGACCGAGTAGCTGAGCAAGCTATCTCGAATCTCTGTACATATCTTTTCGAGGAGTCTTCGGTGATAACCCTGGATGAGCTCTTGGGCAGACAAAACCTCGTGATGGCACCATTCAAAGGTGACGAGATGAGCGAGACCGATAAATTGTTCGGAAGGTATTTCTCAATGGAGCATCTCAAGCAACTTAACAATACTGGAGGCGCCGGATTTGTTTGGCAAGATACAGTACAGAAAACCGATCGACCCATAACGCGCAATCTTAGCAAGTGGTTTCACGCTCCGTTAGTATTATGCTTTTATCACTTACTCGAAGCTCAGGCTAACAGGCTTGTTCAAAGACTCTACGCGGGATTATGCGTCACCAACTTTTTCGTATTCTTCGAAACTACCTTTCAAGGATTCTCTAGTGAGAATTTCGAGAAAATGGCCTCCCTCAGTGACCCTGAAATGGCAGATCTGTTCGAACGGGGACAATGGATATTACGCTGTGCTAAGGTCTTTGCAGCTTGGGCTCCACAATCAAAAAATAAAGTACGAGATCTATTACTCTGAAGCCTGAGGTCCTCCAAGCTTTTACTCATGATATTGCAGATTGAGGCGCAACTTCAAGTGTTAAACACCGAGGACAAGAAAGAAGCTCTATTCACAAAAACACGCATTATAAAGGATAAAGGAAGTCTATTCCGCTCGCAGGTTGCTTTTCTAAGTAAAACTATCCATTTGCATGGCTTCCTACCTACTGCTCATCTGCTGATATTTGAATGTCAGATAAAAGGGATCCGGGTGCATTAGAGTCTCGTCAAATTTGCAACACCATGGCTGGAATGATTTCAGATTGCGGAACCTTACACGAGTCGACCCTGGAATACATAGACAGCTGTGTGGCCAGTACAACAAAAGATGCCGGGTTCACTGTCGCGGGAATTGCCTTGGTTATGGGTGCTGCGTTCGTGCCTGTGGCCGGGCCGATACTTCTAGCCGCTGGTATGGCGGGCAGTATATGTGGAGGAGGTCTTATAGGGCATTACGGAGTGATGACCGCCATCGATGGAGTTGCTCTTCACAAAAGTAAAAAGCGTGAGTTGAAATGTTCCATTCCATTCTTCTTCCTTTTGCCGGATATTAATGATCGAAACAGTCAAGATATTCGTGAGAGAAGTCCACATTGCACTTATGTCATGTCGATCATTTCTTCTCCTTATGCTTTGGAATACTCAGCAATCTCTACAATCAGAGGAAGCCCATTACCAGGAATTTAAGAAGATGATTTCTAAGTGTTTGGGAGCTGATTTAGACCGATTTTCTGAGTCGGGCTATGTCAACACAATACTCACATCGATGGAAGAAGTCATCAACAAAACCATCGCAGAGTTCAGTGCGGAAGTTTCAAACATTGCATGAAGCATGAGTCTCATTGATGTATGAAAACGAGAGGTGCTCGGGGATGTCTGAAGCTTCTTCGGGATTTGTATTGATACTTGGAGCAAGTAAAGATTTTGGTGACTTGGGAGACGCAGTAATTAGTTTGCGGAATGTTCTGATTTGATTTATAGAGGAAAAGATACAACGATAATAAATACATGTACTCAGAATGTCAATATTGGGCAAGTTCTCTCCACCTTCTTGACCTAGAGCATACGCAAAGTCCCAGTCTTTCTAGATCAGATCTGTCGTACCCGAATACAAATTAACTGTGCTAATGTCTGTGCAGATGATTAGAGAATAAAAAAGATGACATGAATCATTGCTGACACCTGTTTGGTGGTATCTTGTGCTTATCGGGTAGTGTTTTTCATAAAGTCGTGATTATCTACTACTTTGAAACCAGACAACAATTTATGGTAAAGTCCATCACAAACTTCAAATTTAAGAGGAGATTTTGATCCTATCGTACTCCTCTCTTGTTTTTCCGAGGGGAAAGTGAGAGTGGCTTATGATCATGCCTGTATCAGTGGAGTTCCGAAGCTATCATCACTTAGCAAGCTTTGCAATTGATAAAGAGGGATTCATGACTTACGAGCATACGGACGGTCCAATCCTCTCCAGATTCAGGGACCAGTTCAATCTTGAGCGGAAATTCATCAGTGAGTGTGTTGAGCTGCTTGAATGCAATCATTGCAGCTCCAATATCCTCTTTCCCTCGCACGCAAGCCTGTTCAAGCACACCCTTTAGCAGAAATCTTTGGTTGACAGATAGCAACAGAAAACCTACACCAGATGCATGTATGAGAAAAACAGCATAATATAGAGGTAACACATCATAATGCTCGCCAGCAGCTTTTTTCTCCAAATGCGCTTTGTAAGCTTTCAAGATTAGCTTGCGTCCCCTGATATCATGGCCGTTGTAAGCAAGTTCGTATTCGTTGCGTATATCTCTGGGTAACTTATGATTTCTCAAGGCGTCAGCAGCACCACATGCATGCAAGGCTTCTAAGACCATACGGTTCTATATCATGAGTAAGCCTCTTTCCCCCACCTCTAGGTGCTTGAAAACTCACACTTTGAGCCATACGTGGGGCATCAATGCCAAAAAAATCTGAAACAGTCCGACTGAACGTAGGAGAGAAACCGTTCTCGGTAAAAACCCTATAGTTACCCCAAATCTGTTCTAGACGATTCTTTATGTGATGTGTAATTGTAGGATTCGAAGGTTCCCGGAGTAATTGAGATAAATGTGCCCGCGGCGATAACACTCCATCACTACAATCGTGCCCGCTTTTTGTACACTGAACACATCTCTCGCCTCTCTCCCTTTTTTCGGGCAAACACTTCAATGGGTCAGCTACAGATTCGTCGTTCTGCCGAGAGACAATAGATCGGTACCTTTACCTTCCTCATACGACATCGGTCGCACTTCAAAAACGTTGAGAGCGCGCGGGGGAAGGTCGGTTTGTTCCCTCTTGTCGACATTTTGATAGGGCACTCGAGTGTGCGAGTAATCCCCTTTTGCAAATTTCTTTCAAGACTATAATCTTCGACTTGTGATATTATTTCATGAGCCTTATAACAAGGCTTTATGATCAGAGTTATCCGTTGATATTGAATGAACAATGGTTATTAGGTTGTATCTTATTGCTTATGGACCTCGTGGTAAGCAATAATGTAGAAGAATTAAAAAATACAACTCAGGCACTAACACCAAGAACCAGACATCCATATTTTGCATGCATACATACGCGGCATAGTATACACTTGGATGTTGTTTTCCTCGCAGTCATGCGTGTATGCTGAGAATGCGGCTGAGAATGCGGCTGAGAATGCGGCTGAGAATGCGGCTGATGTGGATAAATTTCATTAATCACACCTGAAATGGAGATCTAAAAGTTATTTTGATGTGGCGATGCAGTATGGGCAATTGATCATGTAGAACCGATCGTTATTCATTTTCTTGCAATCTTACACAAACACAATGCTCAGCTTCGCAGCTTCACGGCTTGATAGCGCATATTCCGTTTCTCAGTACAACCCCAATCTTTATATTTGAGGACTAACATTACTCGAGACGAAAGCCGAAAAATCAGCCGCATAAGCTGCAGAAGCTTTTAGCATCATCTGATTCGATGCTTGCGAGATTAAAGAAAGCAAAAGTGCGAAGACGATGCTATTTAAAGAAATTGTCAATAATCTATGATTCAAATCCTTTTGAAACGATAAGATCAAGAGAGGAAAAATTAGAAAGGTATTGGCAATATAGGCAATTAGAAAACGAGCAACGAAATCTGTCATGGTGATGGTGCTCTGATGACTTTCAAAGTCACGGGATGATGGAGGGGATGATGGAGGGGATGATGGAGGGGATGATGGAGGAGTCGGTGGAGGAGTCGGTGGAGGTGGCGCTTCTAGATTAGGAAGCTTGACTCATGTAGTATACCAAGATTCACAGAGGCAGCGATAAAGAATATATCGAATTGAATCGTGTTGCACTGGCGGTAGATCAATGCGCAAAAGCTTTGTGCGCTACATTTCTTTTTTGCTGATATTTTTCCGGAGATGGGAGAGCCAGGTACAATCAGAGAGTGCAATGGTTTGTATATTCATGACTTGGTTGAATCGAATAATTGTGGTGTCTGAGATGTGGTAAAAAAGAATGCAATTTCTTCTAGATAATCTTATTATATTCTTTAAACAATTCTCTTGATTTCAAAACACACGGTTTGGTGATAGTTTGCTTGATACTTGGCACATATTTATCCCTTATACTAGACCTCAACTTCATTCTATCTTTGCTTCTAGGTTCGATGTCCAACTGTAGTCCAGCTTCATAGATTTCTCCATCAAGCTTCGCGCAACAGTGGCCGTAACTGCGAAAGACATGATGCACAAGTTTCGAAATGTTCGTTTTAATCTTATAGTGAGCATTGGCGGAGGCATTTCCGATACTTGGAATGATATCCGTTTTGGGGATGTTGTGGTATTTATGCCAAACAATGCTGGCGGTGGAGTTGTTCGATACGATATGGAAAGAAGGGAAAAGGATGGATTCTATCGAACGGGTGTATGTGAACAAACCGCCAAAGCTTTTCAGATCTGTAGTTATACAAATGACTTCTTCATTTAGATTACTGAAGGATATTGCCAATTTGATCACGCAAGCTTGGGTAAATATTAGCTCGTATTTCGATAACGACGACGAAGACAACATATGGCAGTATTCGGGCGCGAAGAATGACCTTCTATTCAAGACAACATTCGATCATATCGACGATAATCCGATATGTATTGCATGTGTTGAGCAAGGAGTGCTTGTACAACGAGAATCTTGTAGAAACACGTATCCCAATGTTCATTGTGAAAACATTGCTTCCGGCGGAAAAGACTTGGCAGATCATGGAGGACTGTAAGATACTCCACTATTATCGAATACATAGTACTTGAGAATCTATTCCTTAACAAGAATGACTAACAGTCCATTGCTACTGTGATGGATGCTGCAGAACATCGCCGCTAAGGCGCACCGGGCCGTGAGTTAGTTGCTGATGATCCTGTCAACGAGTACCAGTGGCACGGTATTTAGTCTCGGGCATATTCGGAAATCAGGAGGTTGGCTTTGATGTTGGTTTTGATGTTGGTAATCTCCGAAAGGCGAATCCACTCGGTCAAAATGATTACGCCGCGCAAGTGCTGGACGAATATAACGGTATAAACTGAAAGCTTTACAGCTACATGCAAACTGCAGGATGCTGCACATTAATTCTTTGCGGGAGGAATCTGTAGGTATTCGTATATTGACATGGATTCACTCTTTTTAGAATAACGGGAGATATGCTCGACAAGTGTTGAAGTCTCTTTACTTCCATCAACCTCACCGATTATGTGTTGGCCATTTTAACGTATATGCACATTCCATTCATGGACTCCCTGGAATATATGTGGCAGGTTCACATCGCATGTGTACTTGTGATCCGAACACCAACGATATTAATGGTGAAAATTAGGCACAAGTCGAATCTTTCTATTTCCTCAAAACACCTTTCAAGACTAGCAGCAAATACCCGCTTTTGGATACTTTCAGATTTCTTCAGCATGACCAACGGAATGAATGTTGATCAAATTCTTTCTTGGATAACGAGGTCTTGGTTCGTTGTAATCTTCTCAGTTGATATCACTAGACTGCAGTAGCCAAAAAATCAAATGTCTGATTTGTATCCTATTATATTCTCCCCCTGTTTGATGGCTAGGAACATTTTTTCAGGCCTGTGAAGCCAGTCAATTACAGTTTTCAAGATTACCACGCCAGCACATGCGGCATTTACAGGATCAAGATACTATCATTCGATGTTGACGCTCCTACTGAGCCACTCGTCCCTTCAGATGCTCCTGAACTTGAAGCTGCTCGATCAGAGCTTATTGATGCAACGTTAATGCTTCATGATCTCATTCTTGGACCTAAGGAGTATTTGATGAAATTCACTGTGAGTATACACAAAAGCAACTACTAAGCCCTTTGCTAACTTGTCAAAGCACGATTGACTCATAAGTATGCAAGCAATTGGACGCTTCAGCATTGCGAAAAGCATTCCGGTTCATGAAGAAGTATCTTATGCCGATATTGCAAAAAAGTGTGGTGTCAATGAGCTTGACGTCCATCGTATTCTTCGTCATGCTATGACTTTATGTCTATTCAAGGAACCGAAGAGGGGCGTTGTTGCTCACACAGCTACATCCAGGATGATAGAAGAAGATCAGCAAATGGCGGATTGGGTCGCGACATCTCTGATGAGCTCTGGCAAGCCGCGACCCAGACAGTTAACGCTATGGTGAAGCATCCGGGGTCCGAAGAGCCAAATGAAACTGTATATTCCCTTGATACAAAGTGTAGATAGCTAGACTGATGAACTTCTATAGGGGTTTGCGCTTGCGAACGGTTCGGACAAATCTGTATTCGAAGTTCTGTCCTAGAATCCAGCACGAGCAAAACGTTTTGACAGTGCCATGAAAGCTTGGATAGAGGGTACAGGATACGATCTTCAATATGTCATTGATAACTACTCCCGGAAGGAGATTAGTAATGGTACTGTCGTTGATGTATGTAATATTTCTACTCTTTTTCATTTATTATCCCGCTAATGAATCAACAGGTCGGCGACTCGCATGGCTTTGCCTGCACACGACTTATGAAAGCATTCCCTAACCTCAACTTCATTGTTCAAGACCTTTCGCCAGTAGTTGAAGCTGGTGCCAAGACTGTCCCCTCGGAGCTTCCAGACAAAATCAAGTTCATAGCCTATGACTTTTTGAAAGAACAGCCTATCAAGAATGCGGACATCTATTTCTTCCGATGGATTTTCTACAACCAGTCTAACAAATACTGCCTTTAAATACTGCGCAATTAAATTCCCGCTCTCAAAAAAGGTGCGCGCATTTTCATCAACGATAATGTACTTCCAGAGCCTGGAACTTGGCCAAGATGGCGCGAGGAACATTTGAGATCTATAGATCTTACCATGTTGGAGTTACAAAACTCGAGGGAAAGAGAATTGGAAGATTGAACTAAACTCTTCGAAGATGCGGATCCAAGGTTTATATTCAAGGGAGGGAAGCAACCTACTGGCTCTAACCTTTGGATTTTGGAAGCTGTTTAAGATGGAGATTCTGCGACTGGATACTTTGAGCACACAATCAAGGAATAATCCACCTTAACATGTACCTTGTACTCAGTCCCAGATCCACTAAAAATCATCAACGGTTTGAACGTTCAATAGAGATTGTGAACCTTTCCTTAGAATGTCAGTCAGCTAGATGATTGATTGATCGATTGATTATATTTGACGTCCGTGTGAAGAAGGGATCTGCAGGTGAATCAGCATACCTTGATCTGTGAGACCTATTAGATTATAGATCTCATAGATCTGACTGAAAAGCACCTATTAGAGTACTAGCAAAGGTAGTCGGTTCAATTGGATTACTTCTCAATAGTCTTAATGATTAGAAGCATTTGAGCTTCATTATTACTCAGCTGTATATTGTAATTAAACAACCAGAATTGAGATAATAGTGGTAGTACATGTACTAATAGAAGATAGATACATATTCTCGTACTGATAAACCACATTGGCCTACTTAATCAATTATACAATCCAGAAGGATAGTAATTTGTAGGTAGCCTCGGTAGGTAGATAGGTTATGACGTAATCGAAAATTCTCAACTAACTTCCACAATGATGCGATCCGACCCCGCATTCTTACCAACCAAAACAGCAACATCAAACGGTTACAACAACTCGGGGTAAGAGCTACTAACAATATATATTCTACCTAAACATCCAAATACCAAAAATACCAATTCCCAACCAACAATTTTCTCCCACTCTTCACAGAAACAACACTCAAACCATTGATACCTCTCCACTACCCAAAAAAATGTCACCCTCTACCCCGCGCATCCTCCTCCTCGGCGGCCACGGCAAAGTATCTCTCCTACTAACCCCCAAGATCCTCTCTCGATCTTGGAACCTCATCTCCATGATCCGCAACCCCGATCACAAAGCCGACATCCTAGCCGCGGCATCGCGCGCCCCCAAAAGCAGCGCCGGAAACCTCGAGGTGCTCGTCTCCAGCATTGAAGATGTCAAGAGCGAGAGCGACGCAAAGAGCATTTTGGACCAGGTAAAAGCGGATTGGGTGATCTGGTGTGCTGGTATGAATTTTCCCATTCCTTGCATTCTTCTCATTTTTATTTCTAAAAGGGAGGGGAGGGGTGTCAGAAATTGCGATTTTCAAATAAAGAAATAGAATACTGCTTAACCACTTGCCAACCAAACAGGAGCCGGAGGCAAAGGCGGCAAAGACCGCACCTACGCCATCGATCAAAACGCCTGTATTCATTTCATCCGGGCCTCTCTCGCGACTCCCTCGGTCAGCAAATTTCTCCTCGTTTCCGCGCTCATATGCCGGCGCTCTCAGGCTCCATGGTGGAGCGAAGAAGATTGGGCGTATGTGCAGAAAGTCAATAATGAAGTGCTTCCCGATTATTACAAAGCGAAATTGGCGGCAGATCAAGCGTTAGTGGTGTTGAGCGAGAAGAGGAAAGATCTGACGTGGATTGATTTGAGGCCGGGGACGTTGAGTGATGAGGAGGAGACGGGGAGGGTGAGTTTGGGGAAGACGACGGGACAGGGGAAGGTTACAAGAGGGGATGTGGCGGAGGTGGCGGTGAGACTGTTGGCGGAGGAGGGGGTGAAGAGTGGGTATTTTGATTTGTTGAATGGGGAGGGGGAGGTGGGGGAGGAGGTGGGGAGAGTGGTGAAGGAGGGGGTGGATTGTAGAGAGGGGGAAGAGTTTGAGGATTTGAAGGGAAGTGAATTTTTGAAGCTTTGAATAATTATTAGGTCTATGGAATGATTGGGCGATAGTCATTATCTTATCCCTGAAAAGAAGTCTTCCACGTGGACCAAATCGTCTCATCAAAAAAGTATGATAGGAAAAGTATCTGTGAATTCGAAGCAAACATTGATCAATACCATCTTTTCTATACCCTCCACGCTCTTATAAACTTCAACCGAGATTCCATATTCCCACCCCCCCTTCGTTCAACCTCTCAAAGAAGATCAAAGATTTCAAAGGGTTTGAATCCAGACGGTATCCGGCATCCGGTATGCAGGTATGCCAGAAAGATTAATCGATTCCCATGATACACGTAATTAATCATTCTCAAATCACCATTATACTCATTATCATACAAGCATGAAAGATAGTAAACAAGTCTCCTATTGTATATAAAACTAATATAGCTATCTACGCAGCTACTTTTGTTCACATTGTCTTATGAAAGGGGAAACTCTATTCTCATCCATCTCTAACTTGACCCACAAGCAATAGACATTCAATAGTCTAGCTCCTTTAAAGTGTTTCTCTTCTAGAAGAAAACACCTACTACGCCCTAGCAAACATAAGGCAAAATGGTATCATATAATAAAGAAATCAACCAAACACACCCATTAGCAATAAACTCATTTCCTTGCTTTCGTCTTCATCCTAATATCTTTCTCTCCCCCGAGATTCGCTCACAACCAATCTAGCAGCACGCTCTTCCTATTCCCACCCCTCCCTCTCATCAACCTCCTAATCCGCAATCCCCAACCCAAATTCCTCATACATTTCCCCAACCCTCACACCCCTATTATCGGCAATCATACCCAGCAGCCCCTGTCCCACATCCTTGATATCATTATAATCATGCAACAACCTAATATGTCGCTTGACCGTTTGCTTCGCCGGTTTCTCCAATCCTTCCGTGATTTGCTGTATTTTCTCCTGTTTTTGTGCAATTTCTGCTTTGAGATTCGCGTTGCGTGTTTGGATTGATGTCTAGTGACAGAGTTAGTTGATCACTTTAAGGAAAAAGAAATTATGGGATCAAAGGTAGACTAAGACTTACAAGTTTCAGCGCTTTGATCTCGGCTAAAAACGCATCTTGGCGTTGGGAGGAGGGAGTATTTGACAATGTTGATACTTGACTTCCGGATACTTTGTTTTTAGTACCACCAGCGGTAGATATCTTTTCGTTGATAGTGACATCTTGATCTACGGGCTCTGAAGCTTTTGCAGTCTGCTTCCCTTTGTTCTTGAGTAAGCTTGGTCTTCCCCTTTTCTTCTTCTCAACCACCGGCTCTTCTTGCTCGTTAGCCTCTTCTGCTTCTTCGTCAAGGTCCTCACTTTCAATGCTACGAAGCTCAAATTTGTCGGTTATTTGTTGCTCTTCGTCTGCAACATCAGAATCGCTATTACTAATTCGCCTAGGTTTAGCTGCGGAGGGTCGACCTCGTTTCTTCTTCTCTGATGCAGGTGGTTTTTCCTCAATCTGTGTAACTACCTGATTCGTCCCACCACTCTTAGCCCTGCTGCTCAATACTCCTGTCGAATCTTCTTCGCCAGATTTTGTGTCTTCAGTACTGGCACCCAAGTCTTTAGTTCCAGGTGGTCGGCCTCTCATTCTTGGTTCTGGCCTAACCTTTTTTGAAGGCGGCGATTCATTGAGTAGCGCGTCTTCTTCCTCATCTGAGTCAACAATCTCGGTCGGGACATTCTTACCACCACTACTAACATCATTCGAAATACCCTTCACGGTACCATTCCTGAGATTCAAGCTAGAATCTTTGCGAGCAGGTCGACCTCTTTTTCTCTTCTCGGGTGAAGCGTTGGCCAGTAGGCTAGGATCAGGTGCAGATTCGTTGATATCGGGATCCACAACTTTGTCGGAAGCTTTTGTAGCAGCATTGCTGGAACTTGCTTCGGCAGTTCCAATGATACCCTTGTTCGCGGTAATAACACTAGAAGAGTTGTGACTGGAAGGTCTGCCTCTTTTTCTTTTCTCTGGCGAAGAACTGATCACAACTGGTTGATCACTTCTTGCGGCTACAGTCTCTTGTAATGCAATGACCATTTGACTTGCTTCTGGAGGTTTAATGGGCCCCTTGTTTGGATCAGTCACTGCGGAGACCTTACGACTAACCGGTCTACCTCTCTTTTTCTTTTCGGGTAATGTGTTGGCAGAATCTTGCGGCTCATCAAGTGATTGCGTCTCAGATACTGGCTCACCGACACTAGCATCAGTAATAGCCTTCTTTGGAATGTTTGGAGCATCGTCAACAGTTATCTTTTCCGGACTTAGTCGAGACACCTTTCGGCTAGCAGGTCTTCCCCTCTTTCTCTTCACTGGTGAGGAATCGAGATCAGCTAGTTCATCAATGAAATGAACATCGCCTATAGACTCCTTCGCGATGCTCTCTGAGGTTTCTTCCGTTGTAACAATTCCAGAGCTTTCGTTGACAGCTTCGTTGACGTGTGTTTTCTCGGGATTCAGTTCTGATGTCTTTCGACCAGGTCGACCCTTTTTATTCGGTCGTACAGACGAGCTTTCATCTGAATCATCACTTGCTTCCTCGGATGGGGTGACTTGTACATCAACATGATTGTGAGGCAATGGTGAAGCCTCGTACGATAACTCGTCAGGTTCTGTATTTTCTGCTTCAACCCCAGAAGATTTACGTCCTGCAGGTCTTCCCCTCTTTCCCTTGACGGATGAAGATGGGATAGCAATATACTTTCCAGTAGATTTGTGACTAGGCGTAGCTTGTTCCATTTCAATATCTCCAGGTATAATCACTGAAACGTTACTCGAATCATGTCTGGCAACTTCTTCAGTGTTGGTTTTCTCGGGACTCAAGCCCGAAGACTTTCTCCCGGCTGGTCTTCCTCTCTTTCGTTTGACAGGCGAAGACGAATTCGCGGTTATTTCATCCATCGAATCATTGATTCTAGACTCATCATGATTCTCAATAATCTCGACTGGGGCAATTGCTGTTACGCCATCTAACTCATCCAATTCTCCGTCTGGTCCCTCGGAATAGTTCTCCTCAAGAATCAAATTTGAAGGGTTTCTACCCGCCGATCTCCATTTTCTCTTCATCTCTTGCATGGAATGAATAGGATTGTTTCCAGTTGGCTCATCTCTTGATTTGCAACAGACGTTCGAATTTATAGTATTCCCATCCATCAAAACCTTCTCCCTCTCAAGATCTTCATCATCATTTGTAACAGTAGACAACGTGGAATTTTTTCTCCCGGATGGCCTTCCGCGCTTTCTCTTTTCGGGTGTAAGGCTACTTGGATATACCTTGTCTGCTGGGAGTTTTCTCGGAGATGAATGTGCCTCAGCCGATTTGTTGGTAAGAGTGGTTTCGTGTCTTTTTGGTGGATCCACAGCTGCTTTATCCTCTTCCATGGCAAGCTCATCAGCAGATAACAAGGATACCTTTCTGCTAGATGATCGTCCTGGGTTCCTCTTCTCAGGTACGGGGCTATTTGGAGAGGAATCATCTGCTGTGGCATCTGTGGGAGCTATATGCTCCATTGCGTCATCTAGTTTGTCAATATGCTCATCGACAGATAATGTAGAAATCTTCCTGGTAGATGGTCTGCCTCGTTTCTTCCTCTCGGCCACGGGACTTCGTACGCTTGAGTCTTCCTCGTCCTCCATACCCATTGACTTATCTGGGCCAACTTCGACAAGCATTGCTTTGCTTTCAATATTTTCTTCGTCAGCTTGACTGTTGGCCATTTTAGATCTTCTGATTCCTGGTGGTCGACCCCTCTTATTTGTTGGTTTTTGCGGTGATATCTGAGTAGTAGACAGCTGAATATCTGTATTATCTTCGTCGGCTCTAGAATCTTCCTCCACTTTCCCGGCAGAACCAATCAGCGCACGCTCAGCCGGCTCTCGAATCTCTTCAAAATCATCTATTCCATTCTGTGAAGTTTCGGATTCCATTGTTTCTAGCTCTTTGAGATTTTTCTTTGGGTCGATGGAACTTGTAGCACATTCTCTCCCAAACGAGCTCATAGCATCTTCGGCCTCCAGATCCTCATTTTCTTCTCCGACAGCATCGACTCCTGTGGCCATTTCCACATTCTTTCCGTATTTCACCGAGCTATCGAATGTGTTTCTATTATGACTGAGTTTTTGCGGAGATTGTTGACTTGATTCTGTGATCGCATCGCTATCCGGAATTTCTACCTGGCTTGGCTGCACTGGAGCTTCCAACCTGGAAAGTGAAGGCAATTCAACATCGTTCAAGCTGTCATCATCCACGGGTAGTTGATTAGTGATTCTGAGATCTTGAATATGAGAGGGATTTGACACATTTCCCGTATTCGTGGAATTCGTAATATTCTCATCTATTGACGGGGCTCCTTCCAAAAAATCGTCTCCGGGCGCGAATTCAACAGGTGATTGTTCCAGAATAGATATTGAGCTCGGCTTCCCTTCAAGGTCCCTTAAATCTTCATTACTCAGGAACCCGCTGGTAATGCTTTCAGCACCATGATCTTCGTTCCCAGAATTTGCATCTTTGTTAACAATCCTTTCAGTCTCAACAATCGTTTCGGAATACGTGGTGTTCGAAGTTGGAACATGGTCGCAAATTTTTCCGATCTGATTGGTCTCTTCATCGATAAATTTATCAATTACTAACCCAGCTCCTATCTCGGTGACAGCTTTTTCCGAGTTCGAGATGTCGTTGCCCCTCTCTGACACGGGATTCTCGCTGTCTAATCCCGAATCCTTGATCTTATCATCTGACTTGTCGTGGATTTGTTTCTCAAAATAGATTTTTCCTCCAAAAGGATCAGCATCCGCGATGAGACTAGAGTCAATTGTCATTTCAGTAGTTGTTGTGATTGTCTTTAAAGTATTCTTACGAGTTTCCTCGAGTAAAGCTGGTTCATCAACTTTGACCAATTCTTGATCGCCAATCTCCTCCTCAGGAAAATCGGGAATGCTTTTATCACCAGCTAGATTCATCTCTTGGTCTTCTTGCCCATCTGCCGTATCATTGTATTTTTCCGAAATTGCTCCACTTTCTTCCTTGTACGACTTGACGTCTTCCATAACCATTTTTTGCTTTTGGGCCACGGGAGCGTTTTTGTCCAACCCTTCCTCCGTGGGTATATCTGAGGCTGCTGTATCATCACGTCGAGAACTCACATCGACATCTCCGCCCCCGATTTTCGATATGGATACAGCCTGGCCATCGCACTGTAGCAAAATCGCTTGACGCGATTCTACATCCATATCTTCAATGCCAATTTTTGATACCGATCCATTTTCCTCAATCACATCCTCGTCATCAGCCGGCCCATCACACTGTGGTAAAAGTAAATTCTGTGATCCTCTCGGATCCACCTCACCAGCTTCTACCATCCGACCAACATCTTTTGTCGTCTCCTTGACCTTTGCCCCATTCTCAATGCTCGTTTGCGTCTGCATCGCACTATCCTCTTCATCCTCCAACTCCATACTCTCAGCCTCCCTAAACCGCTGCCAATCCCACTGTTCAATAAGATCCATCCCCAGATCCGTTTCTGGCAAGCCCCTATCCATTTTGAGATCCACAAACTTACAACCCTCAGACTTTCTCCACCGTTCTTCCGTTTCTTTTCACGGTACGCAATGTCTTTTTCTTCACCATCAAACCTTATCTTGTGGCGATGATATTTTCAGACTTTGGATCAGCCTTCTTGATTGGACATCATCGAGAAATTTCAGAGGCGATTCTGAAACTAAAATTAAACACGAAAACAGGAAAAGAAAAACAAACTCCGAAAAAAGTAAAAGTGAAGGTGAACTTTCTTTTCGAAAAGAACAAACGCGTCGATATCACCTGCGTTGCGCACGGACCTATAAAACACGAAGAAACCAGGTTTATCACGTGATATCTCTAATTCTGCATCTGATCCGAAGGGTCCAGATCGAATCCAGCGGTTCAAATGTCAAAAGGGTTGGAAAAATGGAGACTGGGTACAAGGATTTTATACTGGCATCAGTTACATAGAGCGAAAACCCTGAGTAAACTACTAGTCGTTCACGGCTATGTGTCAAAATGATTTTTATATGGAGAATGTTCACATTCGTTGGAGCTATACTGACGAACGTTTTATTAATGGTGCATATATGGATTAACAGGCTGGAAACTTGGTCTAGTGATTTATCCTAATGAACATCTCGTCTGCTGAACGAAGATGGCCCAGAGCGCTCAGAATGAGATCATATATCAATATAGCCGCTTCAATAGAGTTTCAGGTCCAATTTTCACAGCTTGAGGATCATGTAAATCTGGGGGCCAGAACTTTGACATGGGGAGGGAAAATTCTCCATTCATGACCATTAAACGACCAGTTTACCCTATGAATCATATCTCAGCAGCAAAAGATCTTATTCTCCTGCTAGCAAGTGACCCACGTCATCTATTAAATAATGACCGAGAAAAACGAAACCACAAGACTGAAGTCTTTAATCCTCCGAGATTCCTCATATACACATCCCCCACCAAAGAATTTAATAGAAACTTTCTACCATGGTATCCTTGTTCTTTCCCGCAATATCACTTGGGCCTTGTCCCTCGCCCAGCCTGAATACACTCTCGACCACACTCAATTCCGTAGCCGTAGTATCCAATCCAGTAACGGCCATCCAATCGTTAACGACCATACCTGCACCAACTACACTGCTACCTCTGTTTACACTACCTGCAACCAATGGAACTTGTAATAACGAAGATAATTCATCTTGATCTTGAATGCTGGTTTTTGGATGGACGATACCACCTTGGTTGGAAAGTGCCATATAGGATCCGACAAGGACATTGTCGGCAATGGTTTGACGGAAAACTTCAACACCGAGGACATCGGCAATAATTTCTTCGGTTTCGCGCTCAAGATCTGGATGGACAAGGGCGACATGATCGTTTGATACTATGACATTTCCAAGGGCTGAAAGCCTCTCTTCTATTCTCTGTTTGGTTGTTCGTTAGTATTAGGGAATAAACCGGAGCCTTGAAAGAGTGAAGCCAAGCTTATTTCACGCATCGCAAAGCTCAAAGCTTGTCGCAAAGCCCTCCAATCACCCAGAATGATAAAAAAATAACCCACCTGTATCTTAACACTGTCCGGTAAACTATTTCTCAAATGTTGCAACTCCTGATCTGTTGTGCTCGTTGGTACCAAAAGTCCCTTCTTGTTACCTGCAGTCAGACGTCCAATAATACGAGTTCCTGCGATTGTGGCATGGCAAATTGGGATAACATCTTGGAGTTCTGCTTCGAATACACTTTTTGTTTGCCTCATTAGTTTTTGCTCATTCACCAAGAGAAGACTGGAATGCGCCGGAATCAAAGTTGTAAGAGCTTAAAGATACACATACCTGTAGAAATTCTCACTGGCGCCAACAGCAACCAAGGCATATGAGTTTGTCAATGTAGAGAAGACACCGACTCTAAAAGATTCAATTTGTCAGCAACCTATCCAATGTTCGAAATTCTTCGTGCTTGGTATCCATTCTCTCTCCCTCCGCATATTGCCAGTTCAATCCCATCCTTCCACCACTCGTCACATCAATTGTGCCACCCGTGGTGGGGTACTCGTCCCTCACTTCAATCCATCATATCATCCATCGAGGAGGGGTAAGGCAGGCAGGCAAACTTACTCATTTGAATTCTCAAACTGCGCACGAACAGCCATATTTAAATTATCTGCGAAAGTATGATCTTGGATATCTGGTATTATTTCTGGGAGAGATTTCTAATCAAAAAAAGTGAACGGATTGATTGATTGTTGTGGTTTGTAGAATTATGAATTTTGAATGAAGATTTTCGAAGTTCTCTGCAGTGGATTTATTAGGAAAATCAGCAAACCCTTTCTCGATAGCAACTATACGCTAGCAGGGATTTCATGTGGGATGACTCTTATAATTGCGCTAAAATGTACCAAATTTACTAAAAACAGTTAAAATGCTTCTCGACTCATTTTTGCTCAGAGTGAAATACTACCGGTAGGTAGTGAGGCATGAAGGAGAGTGAAGAGTGGCAAATATATTATCACAACTGTCATTGGATACCTGTTTGTCTAGTACCTCGCATTCAGTTTGATATTCTCCAAGCATTATTTATATACGCAGCTGGGCACTCTGTGATTGGTTCAATTCATTTAATGTTTAATGTTATGCTCGCGCTGAGTCACAGGGCTGTACTGTGGTGAGGCTGAGGTACCTACCACCTACCTACCTAGTTCTACTCTCAGTATATGGACTATTGCCATTGTATCACGTGGCACATTTCACTCTATGCTCATCGTTGAAGGGGACTTACTAGTGGCACCATGCTTTTAACCTGAACACTTTGAAATTCGTCACAACGATTAAAGTGGTATTGGAAGATACTTACTTACAGCATAGCTTAAAAAGTAAACATCGATACCTCAATCGGGATAACTCGGCCCTAGTTGGACTTGGAAAGGAAGAATACTATCACAATGAACACCAAGTGGTTTCGTTTGTGACACTTGGGTGGTGATAATGTTATCCATGAGTATTCTTCTAGGCTGGCTTGTTGTGTGTATCATCATGAAGGAATCGGAATAAGGATGGATCAATGATACTGGGTAAACTCCGATTCATGCCCGTTTACAAACCTCAAAGCCAAGTGCCTCTGAGATGAAGGTAAACTTGTTGTGAGCTTCTGCGATTCCAATTGAAGGCGGTGATACCATGAAGTTTCGAGGGAAGCACAACACTAGTACCGGGTGTTCAAAGCTACGTCTTTCATTCATCGTTCAGGTTTGTTTGAGAAAAGTAGAAGCCAAAAGTTTTACAACTACTAGAAAGTATATGAAAGTCCGCGGATCTCTGGGAGAACTATACAATTGTCTTAGAGACAGCCAGGAGCGATTTCCCCATGCGCGCTCAATTCATGTATCAATGCTCAAAAAACATCCCTTCTATTCCTGTTCCTGCGAATCCACAAGTATCCCACTTGCATTTTCGGCCCTTTCATAAAACTCGAAATGATGCCCTCCATCAAACTGCTCATCTTCGGGCAATCATCCCACCTACAAGAGTAAAAATAATTGTCCATATCCCTGTTTTTCAACTTGTTTGGATCCAGTTTGCTAATGCGGCTGCCACCAACTGTCATTCGGCATGTAGCTCATAACCGGCTTGGGAACTCTGTTACGTCCTTGGAATCCAAACTTGAATCGTAATTTTTCCTCTTCAAAAGTCTCATAGCTTGGTCCATCCGCATTCTTCCATGAAAACCTCACATCCTTCCCAGTTTCCGCCTCTATTTTCAACAAGGCAAGCTGTTCCCTTTCGTATTGTAACCTATCCCCGGTATAGTAAGCCGCAGGATCATAGTCAACGACGGGGATACTTTTTGCTCCCTCAAGTCCTGGACAGTTTTCTCCAAGACAATACCCTTTCCTCATTGGTATCTCCACCGGTGAGCAGAGGTGATAACAACAAACAAATGAGTCCGATTGATTGTGCCTCCAATATCTACAGAAGCTTTTTTTTCTAGTAATACAATATCCGGTATGTTGAGCATGTTGAGGTCCAACCCTCAAGGGCATCCTGGTATTTGCTTCTGTGCAGGTCTCCCACGCTATCGTTTCGTCAATGCATTGTTCACCCGCACGCCTCTCTACTGGGATAGGATGGTAAATCCGAACTGCTGGAAATGACCACTTCCTTTGATAACTCTCGGTGGTTTCCCAAGGGCAGGGCGCTCCGTGGTTATGGCCATGAGGGTTGGATGCATTATTTTGAAGATTAATATGTGATCGATAGTCGACATTAGACTTTCCAAGAAAATTAGCAGAGGATCTTGCAGGTTGTTTGGTATTAGATTATTTACCATTGTTTCGGATGCTATACCGAACACTGGTATCCCCTCTGGTAATACTCTAGTACGAAAGCAATAAAAATGAAATAGACAGTAAGTGAATATTCAAATTTACAGATGCAAATCAGTTATTCTTCGAACTTTCAGCTGCTTTATGATATTTTTTAAAAGTAACAGGCATTGATTCACGGGAAACAATCTTCTCCCTATGATGCTAATGCTGTCTACTCTTTCCCTGATTATAGATTAATAGGTACCTCACCTCGCTCTTTCCCAACTTCCTTCACTATAAAAAAACAATTTCAAGGCATCATATCACCACATCCTAGCTCCCGCGAATTGTTGCAAGAAGTGAAAATATCACGATCTGCAACTCATATGTCACAAATTCCATTTCCGCATCCAGAGAACAAACTGAATAATAGTTCCTGAAATATCCACACTCATAAAAACCCATCCATCTAACTCACAATCTCCATAGACAATACACACTCCCCACATTCTTACCCATTTCTACCTTTCTTTCAATCCTCCATATCTCCAACTCCCCATCCCACAATCCTCAAAACAAAAATTCTGAAATGCCCAGAAAAAGATATCTTCCCCAGTCTCAAATTCTCCCCACTTGATCGCTATATCAGAATCAGAATCAGATACTTATCTAGTATTCATCATGGTATGAGACCTAGCCCACTTTGGATCTCGATAATTAGGACATGATATCCATATAGTGAGCTACCTTTATATCATGCATCATCTTCCTCTCAATCCAACTCCAATTCCAACTCCATTCTCATCGCCTAAAACCAACCAACCAACCAAGCCCAACCAAGCCCAATACTAAATCTGTTCACCTAATCCCCATCACATACTATCATTATCATCATCCATCAACCATCCCACAAAAACTCAAACTCAAACTCAAAACCAACTCAATAACATTCCACACCTTCTCACTACCCATACAACAATATATCCTCTCCACTCGACTCGAATACATTCCACTCCACTCAATTTAGAAACAAATCTTACTCGAGTAATGAAAACCTGAAGATTCCTACCTACCTAGCTAGCTAGCTACCACCATATGAAAAGACATCAATCGATATCATCATGAAGTGAAGCAAAGCAAAGTAAAGTGAAGCGAAAAAATAATGGAAACATATATCTACCTAGTAGTATCATGGAACAGGATTAAATCGACTATAAGCAGTGAAATGTATGGGAATGTATGAGAATAAAGAGATTTATGAGATATCTAATATATCTATCTATCGAGCTAACAAGCCAGATTTCTAGGACCTTGCTCCTCTTATATCCTTTATCGACTCCCCAAACCAAAGTTCTCAGAAACCAATCTTCAACCCACAAAATCCGTAATCTTTATTCTTTATTTCTTATCTCTTTATTTTTATTTCAAGACATACCATCTTAATCTCTTATATCCAATTCCCAATTCCCAATTCCCAATTCCCAATTCCCAATTCCCAATTCCCAATTCCCAATTCCCAATTCCCAATTCCCAATTCCCAATTCCCAATTCCCAATTCCCAGTTCCCAGTTCCCAATCCTTAACTCCTAATTACTATTCTCAACTCCCAGCCCAGAACCCATCAAACAAAACATCTTAAATCTTAAATCCTTATCCATAACAACACAACCCCTTACCCCTACCTCATTCCCAACCTAACCCCCCAACTCAACCCCTCATCTCCCCCCCAATCCAACAACCCCAAAATCCAACAAACCCAAAATCCTTAGCACCATCACCACATCACCACATTATCTCATCATCACACACTCCAAACAAACCAATCCTAAACATTTCCAAACAAGTCCACTAGATCCTCTTGTTTCCCCCTACCCACCTACCTAGGTAGGTTCCCCATCTCGAGTTATCTCTTTGCCCTACAAAATCTCATTCAAAATCTCCAAGAGATAGAAAGAAAGAAAGAAAAAGACAGCTTTCATTTCCTACTCTACTCTAACATAAACACTAAAATCGCTCTTTTTCTCACCTCCTATCTCCCATCCTCCCTCATTCCTTCATCAAAAACTCCATCTCCATTCTCGAAAAGGCTCAAAACCCCAAAAAGCAAAGAAAAAGCCAAAGATACTTTTAAAACTACACCACGCCCAATAAAATTTAAGATTATTTCATTACAGACCAATCCAATTCCAATTTCTTCATTTTCGAGCTAAAACTCATGAATACACATATACGACCGTTGAAAAGACTCCGAAATCCGAACTTTGCGCCCATTCCATTTTGGAAGCAGAAAAAATGGTGAATTTGTTTGATTGATGTATTGATACAGAGAAGGAAGAAAAAATTATGAAGAATAAATGCACCACTATAAGAAAATACTCAAAGATTTTTAAATGAGGTGAAACGAAAGCGCGTGATGTGAATGAGCACTCAAAACTATATATCCAAAAAATTTGCATTTTGTTCTCTTTTGGATAAACTTTTAAGCATTTCATCATCTCAAGGTCCCCTTCCCGAGCCATTTCCATACCCTGTCCCATTCACAAATGGATTAAATCCATTACTTCGAGGCACAGGTAATGAAGGCGGCGGCACACGTCGTTGTGGTTGTGGTGGCGCAGGAAGAATCTCTTTATACTTATTATGAGAACCACCTTGAGCTTGAGGAGGACCTGCATATTGAAAGAATTGCGTTTGTTGCTGAAGCGGTTGAGGAGGAGGGGGAAGAGTCATAGGTAAAGGTGGTGGAAGAGTCATATGTGGGGGTGGAGGTACAAATGCTGGAGGTTGTCTATAAAATTCTGGTTGGGAAAAAGTGTATTGGATTTGTTGCATTGGCCTTGGAGCTGGAATAATTGGTTGTGGCAATCCCCCGCGAGGTAGAGACGCCCCGTGAAATTCGGCTGCATTGGCGAGGATATCTAAGGTTTTATTGCTGAAAGTTCTGACTGGAGATCGACGTAAGTGAGGAGAATAACCAGTATCACGGACTGGATCATAACCTTGCGTTCTTTGTGCAGGCGCAGGTGTTCCAGGTATTGAAATTGGAGGAGCTGTTGACGCTGCTCTAATTGAGGATGCTGTTGGGGGGACGGGCTTGTTTAAGACATTTACCGCCTCCGAAACAGCTTCCATCAGATCATCGCTAATCTTACCAATGATTTGAGGTTCGACCTTTTTCTCGATCAGACGAAGGATAGGATCACGAAGTCCAATCGCTTCTAATGATTCAGCCATCTTGAGCTGATCGCCAAGATCCGCAAATTCCCTTTCGGTACGTGCCATCCATGCTGATCGAGAAGTCTCAAATCTTGGCTTGAGTGATTCTTCATCTTGAGTTTCGACAACAAAGACAACTGGTTTAGTCTCTGCTACAGGCTTACTCCAATCACTCCTTGTAGTGAGTGTAGGGTTTATAGAACCCTTCACAGGTAAGCCCAAAGTCGGATGTAATTTATGAGTCTCGACTATTGTCTGATCCAAGTCTTCTGGTCGATTGTTCGTAGAATGATGATTTCTCACCCACGGATCATAATGAAAAGTCTTTGGTTGTGGAGAAGGATCCATTCCAATAAATGTAGGAAGATCATTCTTGTTGTACTTTTTGTAATGGTGATGACGAATACCTATTTCATCTGGATCGAAAGTGAATGGAGGTTCGACCACAATGCGATTATTTGGTGGATCGCCATTTCTAGGTCTCGCTTTATTAGGTATGTAAACTCCAAACTTATCAGTTTCGAGCTCATCTGCATCTTCTTGTTCGGTCAACTCGGCTGGGGTGGGAGCTGCAGAATCTCCATCCACAGTAGTGGCAAGAGACAATGAAGTCGCAGGTTGATATAAAGCCGTTTTCTTAGGTGCAACTTCACTATCATCCGGCATCATGATATCCAAAGGTTTGAATGGGGACGCAGGCAACTTTGTGGATTTCTTTCCACGACCGCCCCGCTTTTTCCCTTTCTCTTTCTCCGCTTCAGCAGCAAGTTGTGCAGCACGACCGCCATTGATCCACGCATCAGCAGGGTGAATGAAAGGCTCTTCGGGAATTCTTTTGATATGTGAATGATCAAACTGGTAAATATTAACGAAAGATGGTATAAAATATGTCTCCTTGACTTACATCATGCTGAGAAGGACTATCAGCACCATATCGAGCTTCCATTTGTTGATATTCTTCAATAAGTCTCCTCTTGATCATTAAATCATATTTCTCTTGGATCAATTCTACTCGTGTCTATACACGTGTTAACAATGTCAATAATAACGAAAAAAAAAGAAATGAATGACATACCTCATAGACCCCTCTAGTGTAATCCTCTCCAAACTGCCTCTGCTTCTTTGCATATTCCAATTGAATTCTACGTTGCTCTTTCAACAGCGCAACTCTCTCCTCATATCTCTGAGCCAGTTGATCCATGACAATCTGATATTCTGGCAACGTCTCATGGTACTTTGGATCCTCACTCATCGCCTGTAAAGATTTATCTGAGATAACATCCAGGGCGACCCTCTGCAACAACGCCACCTGTTTATACTGAGTTTTCAGCAATTGTTTCCGATGATACAAACTCTGTATCCTCGCATTACTTGATTTTTTCACTCGATGGCCACCTCTTCCACGAGTCGCTTTTCCGCCCGCCACACCCGCCAGAATCTCTACACCACCCGCCCTCGCAACGGGGATTTTCGCATTGCCATTTCTCCCAACTCTCCCTCCACCACGAATTCGACCGCGTCCACGACCTCTCCCACGAAACCCGCCTCGAAGAGGTATGTTGGCATCGAGATCAAGATTTTCAGAGTCCATTGAACATTGAGCCAAGACGGGGTCAGCTGACGTGGAAGAAGGTGAAGATAATGGAGAAGAAGGTGGAAGATCAAGTGATGTTCGTGATTTTTTTGAAAGGGGTGGTGAATTGGGTTCTAATTCCGAAGATTTACGTTTAGAGCGCGTGGAATATGTAGGGGGTTCCATGTTGAATCTTGAGGTTGTTGGCTTGTCAAAGTAATATGATATGATGAATGGATGAATGGATGGAGCTTGGAAAAGTCGGAGAGTAAAGGTTACCAGAAGTGTCTAGGATTAAATCCCTAGTACCTTTTTTTTCGCTCTTGAATATAAAGGGTGAAGTGGTTTTCAAGACACGATTTGACTTTCCATAAATATATCAATGAATTATTTCTCAAACGTCAGATGAGATGGCGATGTTCATGTTCATGTTCATGGGAGAATGAAGGAATAATAAGTGATGTTGTAAAAATATCAATTGAAGTATGTATGTCTTATTGTTGTACACCCATCCCATCTGCAAAAAATGCATGGATCAACAATTCAAAAATGCAATGCGAGCAGTCGAGTAACATATTGCACTTTTTTCCTACTTCTGATTGGTGGACCCGCATAAAGGTTACCGTACACTCAAACATCGACTTCCCTAAACATCATCAACCTCGAAGGACGCGGCAAGCAAAGTGAGCACAAGAAAAGGATCGGCGGTTGGCGCTTGGAAAAGAATAATGTGAATATCCATGGATATGTAAGGAAGTATATAATTGTGATGAATGGATATGAGATATGAGAGATGAGAAGATTCAAAAGCTACCTAGGTAGATACTCTCTCACATCTCATAAAGTTTGATATTACCTCCATCTCCAAGATTACATAAGCCCTTCTAAAATTATTCTCTCACCCCGCAAACACCTCCTATGTGTTTGATGGATATAAAACCACCTGCATTACCTCGAACTAGAATAGTAACACCTCAAAAATAAAGATTATGCACCAGTACACATTGTTGTAAACTATGAATTTCTTGTTAATTAATCCATCCATCCGCTATACCCTATCTAAATAGAGTAAAGTTTTCATGATAATAAACTACGTTACATTTTTGCTATGTTATTCGAGAGTTATGCATCGTAGGTATATCGTTCGTTGCAGTTCATTGCCCTCCCGATCGTATGGAAAAATAGACTGCCTGCCTCCTACCACTCAATTTCTGCCCTACCCCTTCCCTTACATCTCCCTCCATTCCCCGGTATTACCACACGTAAATGGAAAGGCTCATTCGTCATCATTCATTCACTCAATGAGAAGGGAGTAAAATAGGAAAAAGCGAACCCGAGACGCGAGAATCGACGAAAAAATATCTATTCCTCATCCTCGGGTTGCTCGAAAAGGAAGTTGGCAGCCAATTCTTCATTCTTGTCGCAGGCAAAGTAGGCTTGGATCGCTTGCTCTCTATTGAAGCCGAGACGACATAACTGCCGATTGTTAGTGGGGGGGGAAATCAAATAGAAGGATAGGTATTTCTTACTCTCTCAATAGCATCACGCTCATCTGGTGTCACCTCGATAGCCTGAGCTCCTGGTGGTAGTGGCGCATCGTCATCGGCATTCTCGCTCAAAAGTTGTAAAAATTGCTCTGGATGCTGACTGATCAAAGTGGCCAATTGTGGGTTACCAGCCCCAACTTGCTGGAGGATGGGCTCGAGCATCTGAGGTTGTTGCTGAACGACTTGTCGAAGTTGTTGGAATTGAGGATTATTTCGGAGGAAATCGAGGTTACCGAGTCCACCAGCCGCAGCTCCAGCTCCAGCTCCAGCACCTCCCAAAAGATCGGCCCCAGCACCAGCTCGTCCACGAGCAGCACCACCCCGATTGCCAGCATTTGCGGCAGCTGCTTGAAAAAGGTCCACTGGGTCATCTTCGCCACCGGCAGCGGGAGGAGATGAGGCTTGACCAGCGGCGGGTGCAGCTGGTGTAGCTTGTCGTTGTTCTTGTAAAAGGTTTTCTGGAATACCCTAGGGAAATTTTAGTAATAGTTATCACTTCTGGACTAAGATGAACCTACATTCAACAAATATTCAATAGCACGTTCCGAGTTGTAAAAGGCAGCACGCATGGCTGCTTCAATCTGTGATCTCTCGAAACCCATGCTTTCCATCTCAGCGATTTGTGCTGAACGCTCAGCTCCCATAGCAAGACCGGTAGTCTCATTTGATGGTGTGGCTTGAGCAGGTGGGATCGAGGCACCAGCAGGAGAAGGTGTTGCTGGGACAGCGGTGTTTGGGGTACTCGACGAATGTGCAGGCGCAGCAGGTGGAGCGGGTGTAGCAGCCGATGCTGGAGCAGGGGTTGATGGAGCTTTAGGCGCAGAGGACGCAGAGGACGCAGCTGGTGCAGCCTTGGGCTATCTCAAGTGTTAGAAAGATGGGGAGAACATTGTTGGACAACTAGTGGATAATTACCTTTGTAATCATGCAAACGATGAATCCCTTCTCCTCGATGTGATAGGATTCTAGCGTATTCGCATCTTGTAAGATTTTGCCTGGAATTGTCGTTAGTCAAATGTGCGCTGAAAGTCCCTGACCAGTCATCAATATCTGCGGCCGAATGCAGAACATACCAGAATAGATCAACTTTTGTTGCGACGCTTCCCATCCCTTCTCCTTGAAAATCTTCTCCTTCACGTCAGAGACCTGTGTGATATGCGTTAGCTATTATTCGAACGATAGATATGGCACGGCGATGAAGGTAAAATAGAATGATGTCGAAAATCAAAAATATATTGGTAACGTACAAGCTCAGTAGGCTCAGCCTCGAGGACGAATTTCTGCTGCTTCAAATCCTACGTGCGACCAACAGTAATTAGTATAATGGACTGACAGAACGTCGATGTCAAAAGGACAAGTAATAACATACCTTGAAAGTCAACTTCATATTTGCGACTTTTAGAAATGCGACTGTGGTGATGACTGAGAGAGAGAGCCGTGAGACTTTTCAAGAGGTTGTGAAAAAGGGTATCAAGTAAGATGTTGGAAGTGACGATGAACGAACAAGAGGTAGGTAGTAAGCTTTGATGTTGAAGAAGTTGTAATGTGGTGTAATGGAGTTGAAGTTGGAGGTTGGACTTTGTAGTTGGAGTTGGAGTTGGAGTTGGAGTTAGTTTACTTCTTGATAGAAAGAAGTTTGGAAGGTTAATAAAAAGGTTATCACTAGTAGGGTAGTGAGGTAGTGAGTAGTTCACTGTACGAATTCCCAAATCGCTTTGCACACGGACCAGGTGTAGTGGCGTGAAGGAAACGCTAAAGCCAGGCTACAATCAGTCGTACATCATCTACAATCTTTGAGCTCAAGGCTGTGTGCGCCAATACGATGGTATGAATCAATACAATGGAAGAATGGTTATGTACCAGCTAATATACAATCAAATCAATCAATCAATCAATCAATATTGAGTAGTCAATGACAGAAACATAAGAGACATGTCAATGGGGGTTTGCTGTATATAGGTATATTTTATAATAGTTTCTTTTCATTTCATTCATATCTTTTTCGTTCATGATCTACCTTCCTTGGTAGGTATTTATATAACTTGTTATAATGATGATTTGTATATACAGATATTCATATAAAACAACAAATGAGCAAATAAATAATCATATCATATTACCTACCTACCTACCTAGTACTGCTACTCACCACTTCATCACCAACAATCAATCAATCCAATGCCAATTGTGGCTCAGGCAAAAACTCCAAAAGAAAAAAATCCTTACATAATCATCTCTAGTTCTACGATTACGAACGGGTGCGGGGTTAATAAACCTGTTCTTTCTTTCAGCCTTGTCTTGGCCAAATTAGATCAAAGATCAACCCTTAACAAACTCGAACTCATCAACTACTACTCTAGGTACTTGTAATCAATACAATTCAACCTGGTTCAGATTCCGATGGTATTGACTTTGATCCAGATCATCATGTATCTATATATTGATCATTGACCAGTCAATTGGGAGGATTCCCTATATCAATCATTGTCATTGTTATTACTATCACTACAACTACTATTACATCTTTCTCTTCTTGTCCACCCACTAGGTATCAAAAACACTTGATCAATGGGTCTCACAACCAACGGCACAAACATTCACTTCACAAGACCAATATCAAACATCATCTTCTTTCAAAATCATTCATCTATTTCGTTAAAATTTAAGGTATACCTATCTAACTAAATAAAAAAATTTAACGCCGCGCTAATACATCAAATGGTATCGGTTTCGTCATGACATTCCATTCCATTTCCACCTTAATTGAGCAAAGAAATTCGTTCAGCTTATAGCCTGTTTTCCATGTCCTCTATGGATTTTTTTCTTTTTTCTCTCTTTTTCTTGCCATGTCAAACATTATTTGGAATACCCTCTCCCGATATTCCCATGCTCAATACTCTGTCGTATCCGACTTCCCTACTTTACTCACCGACATGGCCTTTTTGCGATTGTACTCGGACATACTGGTCCGTGGTCTAGCTCCTAATATCCATTCCGGTATGGGTGGTGTCAGGCTACGCTCTCCTTCGACTTCTTCAGTTATTCCCATATCTTCCTGTTCTATCGCGCGTCGGATGCTATCCAAGCTGGGATTGTGCATGAGTGGAGGTAGACTCTCACTTCTTAATCGGTTTATGGAACGGATGCTGTGAACATCCGACAAGGTAATCGATCCAGCTCCCGGAGCGGCGGTTATGATGGTTTCGGCAGTAGCAGCAGGTGCCGGACTAGGAGAGTCGGATCTAAATAAAGGATGGATGTTTTCCTCCCTTGTGCCTTCGGGACTCATCCCTCCTTGCCTCGCTCGATAGAGTGATCTCTCACTCCTGATGCTCGCAGCTGGACTGTAACTTCGACTCCGTGTTGGCCTGGGGGGTTCAAGATCTAATGGGAACCCTGGACTCGGACTTCTACTTCCAGTCGGACTAGCGGGAATCGTTTCGAGAAACCTTGGGGGGCTGGGTGAAGCTGATTCAATAACTTGTCTAGATTGCGCATCTACACCAGATGTGTTCCATGAGTCGAAGTCGTCTTCCGCCCTTTCAGTCGTTTCGCGATAATTTGAGTCGATAGAAGATGGTCGGAAATGATGACTGCGCTGGCTGTTGGAATGAATAAGTCGAGTCTTCGAAGTGATCGGGCGTACAACATGAGAGATCGATGATCGGAATGAGCCCATCGAACGTTTTGGATCCGATCCTGATCGAGATCGACCACTATTTGACCATTGAATCTTCGATTCTATCGAGCCATTTCTTCCATATTCGGATCCATCGTTTAGGCTCTGGGGTTGTGATCTCTGCTGCATTTCCGAAGAGATGTGTGCTTCTGATTCGGTGATATATGGCTGAATTTGTTGATGAAAGTCTTTCCTTTGAATTACAACTAAACAAATGAGAAATACGGCTTGCGAAGCCAACGATATTGCCCAGATAACAAACCCACCCATCGTCATCGATTGCGCCGGGGAGGAAATAATTATTTTGGGGAGTAGAGACAAATTTTGCCTCATTAAGCACAATGAAAGTGCTGTAGCGATTGCCGATAACCCGGTAAATATGGAGGTGAGTCCAGCAAAGAGATATATTCTTAGTCGTCCATTTCCACGATCTTGAATGTGGTTTTGATACTTGATTTGTCTGATTACCAGTAGCACAAGTAATGCTTCTGTGACAACTCCAAGACCGGTCGCGACATAAGATGATACGCTTGCTTTGTTTGACGTGCTGTGATTCGAGATGGTGGCCGAGAAGATGATGTTGAAAATAAGCATGACAGTCTCACTTGCCAATGCTAGAAAGCCTAAACTCAATGGTAATGCTTTCGAGGTCGACATGATGTCTATTACTGAATGAGTGAAGCCGTGGCGTTACTGAAATGATAGCATACGTAGTATGGCTGGTCTCAAGTGTGGCAACGAAGGGTATAAAGCCTTCGGAAAGATGGCGATGAAAAGCGACGTTCGGAAGGCGATGTCGAAATTAATGATATAAACGAATGACGAGACGCACAACTTTTACAGAGATGACTACTTCTCAATAAAGAATGACTGACGAGATGATTGAACGATGAATCAGATTCAGAAATCAGGAGGCTTCCTTCTGTTTCTTCTCCTTCACGTACTATTCATCCAGTCTTTGGCTAAGGTTGTACGTACGGCGTAATACCCAAAAGGAGTGTATGGGATGATATGTTGTGTATCTAGACCTTGTCTCAGACTGATGGTTCCGAGGCTACACAAAGTCTGACTTTAGTTGCAAGCTTTCGCTTCCTCGTTTCTTCGCACCCAGTCTCTTTTCTTCGCCGATGATCTGATATGATGGATAGGAAAGATTATCTAAAAGGAAGATAATGTACCGAAAATTCCACGCAGTACGCAGCACGGGATAGTTATGTAGTTTTTTGGGTTACGTTAAAAGAATGCCGGGAGAGGTTGTGGAAGGGTGTTGTGTACGATGTAATGTACGTATCGATGTCTGATCTGTTTGCTAGGAGCGACGCTTGGTAAATAATTAATCCCAGATGGATAAATCGTATGTATGTATATGGGAAATATTGCAGTGCAGTAAGTAGGCTTGGAGAAATCCGCAAGCATGGATTGGGTGAGCTTCGGCAACGTGCAGGATGATGATATGATATGATATACAGGTGGGTAGGCAGACCGGTAGGTGCAGCAAATCAATGTCGTACTCTTCTTCTTATTCTTCGTAGAATTTAAATTTTGATCCTTTTCGCTCTTTGATGGAAAGTTAAAACGTGGGATCTATTTTGGAATTTGGAAAAATGAAAGAAAGCGTGCGTGTGTGTGTGTGTGGTTGTACAAGTAAAGCGATTGTTATTTTTTTTGTCGTCTTCGAACTCGTCTCGTAGTCGTTGTTAGGGAAAGCAAAGCGAAGGAATTCGCATGAGATGGAGGTTCGGATTTGCGTGGAGGACGGGGTGGCAGAGAGTAATATGGGTGGATATTATGAGCGAGTGGAGTTATATCTTCAAAAGAATTAATGACCAGGTTGACGGGATTTGTTGCTTATAGTTTTTCTTGCGAAAATTAATATGTAATACTCTGTGGATTGATTTTCCAATACCGAGCCTAGTCCCAAGAAACCTTGCGGAAGGTTACTGGGATAATGCCGAGTAGAGTTTTTATTTTATTTTAGGGAGGGGCTTGGCTTGGTTTTGTATGCTTTGTTATGTATGTACTTTGTATGTGCCTGGCTCTCTCTGTGTGCAGTTGCTTTTTCCTTTTTTTTTTCAAGCACGATTATTAGGATAGATTTTTAGATGGGGCCGGTGAGATGGAATGGAGGGATGCTCGTTTCGTCTCGGGTTTGTTTCGTTCGTAGGGCGAGGCGAGGCGAGTTGAGTGGATGGGTATATTTTTGGGGCGGAGTGAATTCTCGTAATCAGATCTCCTTCTTCTTCTTTTTCTTCTTTCCTTCTGCTTAATGCTTATGCTTCGTTAACTCCTGGAGGCGGGAGAATGGAGACCTTGTTTTTTGTACCTGTGCCTGTGCCTGTGCCTGTGCCTGTGCCTGGAATTGGAAGGTTGGAAAGTTTGGCGAGATGGGGACGGGGGGGTTCTAGATGAATGATTTTGATTTGATGGTTTGATGATTTGATGGGGTAGAAGAAAAGATTATTAAAGAAAAATAAAACAATTTTTTGGTTTGGAATGAATGAATGAATGGATGGATGGATGGATGGATGGATGGATAGAGTAATAGAATAATGGAATAATGGAGCGGTGACGTCTTCTTCGGATTTCTTGGGCTTCGGTCTGCGAAGTGAAGGATGGTAGGAGTAAATAAATGAATAAATGAATTTGGTATAATGGATGTATAATGAATGTATACGATGGTAAATGATTGAATGACTGAATGAATGAATGAAGTTCCCCACAAAAGTATCGAGTGTTTTTGTTTTGAGTTTGTGGTAGTGCGGTTGCTATGTATATGTGGTGTAAATATATCCAGGAGCTATCGAGAAAATGAAATTGAAGATTGGAAATCGAAATCGAGATACTCGACGGGGCCAATTTGGAGGAGGAGGAAAACTCGAAGAGAAAGGAAGAAGAGAAGGAAGGGAAGAGTGAAACTCGAGGGATGTTTTCAAAGACGATATAATGGTTTGGAAAAAGTAAGTGTCTTTTCTTGTTGATTTTGTTTCTTTTCTTTTTCCTCTTTTGCGCTGCTCCTCTCACACGTTAGGCGGTCGGTCGGTCGGTCAGTGAGTAGCTCGGATTCGCGTGTTTAGTTATCTCCTAGGGCAGAATGAGTAGGTAGGAGGATAGGTGGATATAGCTATTGCTATTGATATTGATATTGATATTGATGAAGGCGTTATGGTATATCAAGAACCGGGATGACAGGTATTGCGAGTATCAATGAAGAGCGAGAAAGGGGATTGGATGAGGAAAGCCAGCAAATAATAATAAAATCCGGATCCTAAATTAAGAGAAAAGGAAAAGGCGGCCAAGAAATCCGGCATGCGAGTTGCATGGACGGGAAGAAGCAAATGTTTTTTCTAATGCAAGTGCGAGGGCAAGGTGCAAGTGTACGTGCGAAGTTTGTCGTGCCGGTCTTGCTGGGCGGGATGGGATGGGGCTGAGCGCTCGTAAACGTGCGGGCGGCGAGGATGGAGCTTGGATTTTGCTGCGGAGGAGAGTATGTATGTTTCTGGGTTTGGGATAATGTGATGTTCTTGTTGATTTTTGGGGGAGATTGGGTGTGTTTTGGGTGAGAGACCAATAGGGAGATCGGATGATGATGGCTGTTGGACCAGAGGCGTTGTGGTGGAAGGCAGATGGGTAAGGAAAGGGCTTGCAGGATTGCTTGCTTGAATGTTGTACAGCGGATGTCAGATATTGATCGTCTAATGCTTGAGGGTTCGGTGGGGAGAATCGTTTTCGAGTAGGTGTGTTTTTGCTAGAGGAAGGTGGAGGGGCAGTTTATTTTCTCGAGATATGTGTGATTGTATCGAGTTGATGAAATTCCAATGTTTTGTGTATCGATATCTATCTGATGTTCCAGAATTCCTGAGTACCCCAGATTGTATCTGTTGGAAGAATGGTGGCTGATGGTGATTCGTGATCTCAATCTAATATCAATATTATGTATGTCGTTCAATGCATGAAGCATACGATATAAAAATATCACTTCCGGATTAGAAAAACAGATCAGATCAGATCAGATGAGATGAGATTGGAGAAAGCACGAGGGGAAGGGGGAAAGACGGTGGAAAAGTTTTACATTCAGTATATCACTAATAGATATCAATCATAACTATCATTATCGTTCTATTTTGAAATTCATCTGTGTGTTTACAAAATTTTCACGGTTTGTTTACTTTCCATCCGTCGACGAGGTCTGTGTGAATGCCGCAGACTATAGTGCTCGTAGTAGTTGTTTCGTTTGTTATGATAAGCATTAGCTCTTTGGGATTCCTCCTCTCCTCCACTTTGAGCTTAGATGCATGTTAGTGGATAATTGAGTTTTGCTTGACAAGAGTATGATCGCATGTCAGAGGCAACAATGATATAATTTCATTGTTATATGGCATAACACATTGTTTATGATGATTAATGCTGCGGTGAGATACTCATTCTCTCCTCTTTATGCTTAGAGAAACTTCATGCGATGAACAACCAGAGATACAAAAGGAAAGAAAGGAACTATTCATCGTAACTGCTATCGGTACCTAGCTAGGTAGGTAGGTATGCATTGATCTGTGCGGAGATCTAATTGGCGGTACGCACCGGAAATGCTTACGATTGGCTCAATGATATAAAGGAGGCTTTTGAAACACGAGAGAATATCGCATATCCTCGTTTTTCTGTACGAGAGCCTTATAATTAGGGCTGTCTACGAACAAAAGAGGGTTACTTCGTATGCAAGGGCTGTTCTTGAAGGCTTGTATGGCTTCAAAGCATCTGTACCTGCATCTATGCCGCTGCAGCTATTGAGAGGACAGAGCAGGGACTCAAACTAGAGAGAATGGCCATCTCTTTTGGGAATTAGACGGAAAGTATAATGATTAGTTGATGGGATGAATAACTACCGGCGACGTTTGTACCTGAGTATCATGATATTTGCTACGCTTCCGAAACAACCAAACGACGAAGCCAGCTGAGAATGAGCACGGAAAAAGGTTTAAAGAAAATTGAGAGGGTGCTCAGATGATGGATCGACAAGTATGAGAAATGCCCCGAGAGCTCTCTAACTCCATAGTCACGAAAACATCTTCGGATGGAAAACGTTCTAGCCTTTGGGTAAGTTGTAACTACCTCAAGTCTCAACTCGCACAGTCATCTAATCAGATTCGCTTCAATGAGTAACAGAATTCCATTCTAGGAAAGCGAGTCGACGGTTCAATGGGACTGCTCCTCAGATCGTCATCGTGTTGTGTAAGTCTCACAGGAGTAGACTTCCGCCGTTCAACTACAGATGGGATGAAAATAAATTACTTTTACATACGAGTATATTCTTCAGTAAAATCAATCCACCAATGTTGTAATACCCGTTTCTATCAACTTTCTCGATTGCTAATCATCAATGACAGGGAAAACTCTGTCCTCATCTGCAGGCAAAACCACCATATTTCTCCGACATACTTGGCACGGCTCCAATGTTTCTAATTAAAATATCATCATCATACTTCCAATAATGCCAATCAATTGTTCTGGATTCTCATCTTTTCTGCACGAGAACCTTTGAGTTTCATTTGTAACATATCATTTGACAAGGAACTTCCCTACTGATAATTCTAGGCCGTTCATCTATTCATCCTTGTTCACGTTTTTCAGCCTGAAGATGGGTAAAACAAACGTGATGTCCTGGT